GTCATCGGTGGTACATTTAACGGGAAATTTAGGGGATAACTGTACTGTGTTTGACGAATTGGTGACGTATACCGGTGGTTATATAGTTATATCGGTGACGCGTAAGCGGCTGTATAACCACCTGTATACGTCCCCAATTCGTCAAACACAGTACAGTTATCCCCATTCTAATTCAACTCGTTTTACGCTGTTTTTTCGTGAAAGAAATTCATTATTCTAATTCAACTAAGTATGTAACACGAGTTCAAAACAAATTCAAAATTAAATGCTTCAAATATATGCTATAAAAACACAAAACCTCAACAACCGTAAAAACAAAGCAAACTAGATTTAGTGTTTTAAGGTCGGTGAAAACTCACACGCCAGCAATGGACAAAGCTGAATCCATCAGAGACCTTATTCAGGACAACAAACTTGATGTTCTTATAATCCCAGAGACATGGTTGCGGGAAGGGGATACTGATAGCCTTGTTATCTCCAAGATGACACCCACAGGATACAGATGTACCCATGCACCCAGAACCAAGCGGAGGGGCGGAGGTGTAGCCATAATCTCATCTAAGGCTCTCTAATAAAACCACAACATACCTACAACTCTTTTGAAATGCTCTCTGCCAAGTTACAATCTGACGACCAAACTATGATTATCTCTGGTGTGTACAGACCTCCAGGAAGAATCTCACTCTCTGAAGACAAACAAGAAAGCGGATGCTTTCATTGCTGACTTCAGCTCTCTCCTAGAATAATTCAGTATGACAGAGGGGAAGCTCCTTATCTGTGGGGATTTTAACATTCAGAAGACAGACAGACAGAAGACAGCTCGACACAGCCAGATTCTTGGAACTCCTTGAAGCGTATAGATTAGTTCAGCATGTTGGTGAACCAAACCATGTCAAAATCACACCTTGGATCTTGTAATCACAAGAAACAATAAACTGGATATCAGAAATGCGCGCATGGATCATTCTGTTGTGTCTGATCACTATGCTTTCATAGCTACTGCCAGTTTCAGTGTGCCCAAGAGACCAAGATGCCAAATATGGTTTCGAAAATGTAAAAAAAATCGATTTGACAGAGTTCAAATCTGATCTTAAGAGTGTTGTTGAAAACCTCCATTGTTCAGATCCTGGTGAATGCTATGAACATTGCGAAAAGAATATTCGTGATATTGTTGAAGGCACGCTCCAGTATCTATCCGTACGGTAACCATTTATACCAGGGAAGCATGGTATAATGAAGAAATTTGAACAGCCAAGCGATTTCGTCGAAAGCTTGAGAGGCAGATGCGATCCACTGGCTTGAACATTCACAACCAGATGCATTCCTCGGCACGTAATGAAGTCACAGCTCTATTTGAACAAGCTAGGAGGAACTACTTTGCCAACATTATCGAGAATGCTCAAGATCAAAAGACGTCTATCGGATTTCAAATAGACTCCTATTCAAGCCAGACACTTCCAAGTGAATACTCAGATGAGAACTTGGTTACTTCTTTCTATGAATTCTTCTCAGCAAAGATCAGCACTATACGTGAGTATCTTGAACTATCGGCAGCATCAGCCTCCCAAAACGACCACATCATTGATAATGTCCAAGCACTAGAAGAGATGTTGAACTGTCAAGCTACCACTGACAATGAAGTCAGACGAGTAATCATGAAGAGTCCCTCAAAATCATGCTCACTGGATCCTATTCCAACATGGCTCTTGGTGGAGTGCGTTGATGAAGTTGTTCCCATGATTACACAAATGGTCAATGAATCGCTCCAACTGTTCCGAGTGCAATGAAGTTTGCTCTGATCAAACCAATGGTCAAGAAGCCTCACCTTGACTCTGATGTTTTCAAAAGTTATAGACCCGTCTCAAATTTATCTTTTGTTTCAAAGGTCCTTGAGAGGATTGTCGCAGCCAGGCTCACTGAACATATCATGAGAAACAGGTGTACAGAGGTTCTACAGTCGGCATATCGATGTCGCCATAGTACAGAGACGACACTTGCCTGTGTACAAAACGACATACTGCAATCAGTGAACTCAGAGGGTCCGCCATCCTAGTGCTACTCGACCTCTCAGCAGCGTTCGATACCATTGACCTTGGCCTCCCTTCACAAAGCACTAAGGTGATCGTAAGTCACTAAGGTAACCTTAGTGCAGTGTTAAAGAATGGGAGTTAAGGTTAACCTTAGTAAAGGTTGCTTCGTGAAAGGAGCCCCAGTCCACTCTCATAGAACACTCTCCAGCATAGACTCGGCGTCAAAGACAGTGCCTTTGGTTGGCTCCTATCCTATCTCTCTGGAAGATTCCAGTCAGCGAAGATCAGAGATAGTATTTCCAGCAAGGTTCCTCTAACGCGTGGCGTCGCTCAAGGCTCTGTGCTGGGACCCATTCTTTTCACCATTTACACAACCCCTCTTCGAGACATTGCAAGGGTACATCATCTGTCATTCCACAATTACGCTGATGACACTCAGCTTTATCTAGCATTTAAAATATCCCGTCATCTGTTCTATAGTCTCTCAGAAGCAAGTTAACCCTTCTAGACCTCATGATTGAAGAGTGTGTTATTCCTCCAAGTGACAAAGCACGCAACCTCGGTTTTGTCTTTGACTCATCTCTAAGCGCAGGATCTCATGTTTTATAAGTCTGTAAAACGGCACTCTGTAACATCAAAAACATCAGTCAAGTAAGAAGATTTCTGAATGTAAAGACTGCTGCCACTCTAGTCCAGTCCTGTGTGTTGTCGCATATGGATTACTGCAATGCATTGCTGTACGGTATCCTGAAACACCTCACCAACAAGCTTCAGCGATGTCAAAATGCAGCCGCCCGACTCGTGACCAAGACAAGAAAGAACCAGCGTGTTAGCACAGCCTAAAAGAATTTCAAGGTAGCAGAGAGAATCAAGTACAAGATTCTGGTACTAGTGTTCAAGGCGACGCAGGGACTGGCACCACCCTATCTACAATATGAGGCACCCAAAGCCCAGAGATCAGGGGGACAACATCTACTCCGTATTCCAACACCCAGCAAAACACGCTTTGGCAACCGCGGCTTCTTCAGAGCAGCCCCCGTTCTCTGGAACAGCCTTCCACAGAAGATCAGATCCACCACAAAACTGAGTGAGTGAGTGAGTGAGTGAGTGAGTTTGGTTTTACGCCGCTTTTAGCACTATTCCAGCAACATCACGGCGGGGACACCAGAAATGGGCTTCGCAACCACAGAACTAGTTACTTTTCAGTCAAAGTTGAAAACCGACGTTTTCACTGAAACATATTGCTAACCATTTGCAGGTTTTGTGCAGGCTCCAAAAGGCGCTTCTGTGCAGTTACTAAACTGGATACTAACGCTATAGAAATATCTAGTTATTATTAAATGTCGCCGACTATTAATCGTGAATCTGGATTATATTTTATTTTATTAAAATCTCCTTTTAAAAAACTTTAACTGTTAAAATATTTCACCACAACAATATTTAAATGTTATCAATGTAACTTAAAGTAAGCAAGGGTAGAAAACCTGATTTTGAGAATTTTAGGTATTTTTGTTTTGGCCAATTGTTTACCAATAGTTCTTTTGCATTATTTGATCGTTAATTTTTGCTTTTACACACATCCCGACGAGAACACGAGGTTAACGATCATATATTTCGATTTACATGCCAACAATCATTTGAGATACTCAGTTTTGTGTACATATATGACCACAAGTAATTATGGATTGCGTTTATTTTTATTCATATAAAGACAACATTATTATCTTCACCTTCAGCCCCACAACCCAGGTTGTCGACATCCTCAATGAAGCAGTCCTTAAAAGCAAGCTCAATGTCATAGTTCTCTACTATGGGTACTGATAATAGAGCTCAGGGAATTTCTTTGATGGGCATTTTAGAAGTTGAGTTGATGAAGAGTAATGACAATTATTATGGATATACAACTTCTTTTATTCTGTGGAGGCGACGTTTCGACATAGGTTCTAATGTCGTTGTCAAGATTCTGTGGAAGCGACGTTTCGACATATGTTCTAATGTCGTTGTCAAGCAAGTGAACATTGCTTTGTGTGCAAGGAATGATAGCTTGTGTGAAAACAGCAGCCTTCGATGCATGCACTGTTCAGCCATGTGTGTTTCGAGTTGAGCCAGTACTGACCTCCATAGTAATTCAACTGATTTCAAACAATGCAATTTTCCAAAAGCACAAGTTGCAAATTTTGCAGTAGTTGAAGGAAGTCGACGTTGTAACAGCAGAGTAATTTCCGTTCCCATCATGTTATCCCTTTATTTTATTTTTGTGTTTGCTGAAATTATATTAATTTCAGCAAAAACAAAAATGAAGCTATTTTACTTTACATGAGAGTGAAAAGAGTATTCGCAGTTACATTTGTGCATTGATACACTTCCTTTAGGGACCTACATAATTTATGCCTAGGGGGAGAAGGGGGGGAAGATGATTTTCATGGAGAAGCATGTACAATGTGAATGACGCCCCCCGCTAAAATTTATGTACAAAGTAAGTGACCCCGCCCTGCATGTCTTGTACAAAATCAATGACCCCACCTCCCTTCCCATAATGTTTAAGCACATTTTTTCAATATTCCTAGATCTATGTACAAAATTGCTGACCACCCCTAGTACAGGTGTACAAAATTACTGACCCCCATGCGTCCCCAGAACAAAATGGGTGACACCCCCCCCAAAAAAAGAAAGAGAAAAAAAAGAAAACAGAAATCATCATCACCCCCACTAGCCATAAATTATGAACGGTCCCTTAATAATTGTTTGCAGAATAACAACAAGTTTAATGCGACATTTGGCTCCTTTTATGGTGTGTAAAGTTTAGTAAACCCGACAGTTATTAACATGACAGAACATTTATTCAGTTGAAAGATTTTTTTTCTGCCGTATCTAATTCTCCATATTTCACTTCTTTGATTGTCATGTTGTGGTCATTCAGCAGTTGATGTCAACGTTGCAATCCGAGGTGCTTGGAGAGTACATACATGTACTGGTTAACGAGATTATCTGAAGGCAGGCGGAAACTGTCGAATCCAAACGAGGCTAACTTAAAATGGCAGATTTCGACAACGAAGGATACACTGAGAGAGATCAGGATGTTAAACCTGATCGCCAAAGGTGAGTTGAGGATAGAAATTAAGTCTAGAGTTCTGCCACTTTGGTATGCATATTTAATGTGTCTTTGCCGCTAAACACGTTAAATTACGTTCACGAAATTTGGGGCACTGGTTCTCCATGCTGAATTCAACATGGCGAAGCCGGTGAGACAAGAAATATTTCCTTGCTTGTGGATACTGAGGCAATAGGTGAAACTATTATTTTAGTTAGTGGGGACCAGGGTGCTGCATTGTCAATTTTTACCAAATCGGTCTTAAAGTTCCTACCATCATGCAATGAAAATGTGTATTTTGTTGAAGCATTCTTCCATTGTCGTCTGTATCACAGAGGCTACAAGTAATGTGTATATTTCATGAAGTTTCAGTCCATTGGCCCACAGAACGGAACGATTTCCGCCCATTACCCATTTTCTATGCCTAAGAACATAGGCCTATGGTTTTTATAAAAAGACTAAACCTAACCCTAAACCCGCGAAATAATCCTAATAAATAGAATACATTTCGGGCGGAACTCTTACCCATCAGGTTTGTGATGAATGATGTTTAAATCACATAAAGAACATAGGCCTATGGTTTTTATAAAAAGACTAAACCTAACCCTAAACCCGCGAAATAATCCTAATAAATAAAATACATTTCGGGCGGAACTCTTACCCATCAGGTTTGTGATGAATGATGTTTAAATCATATAAATGCCAAAATTACAAATTTTGATTAAGGTAAAAGTGCTCTTTTATATTCAGAGGACATCAATTCAATAAATTTACTGGATGTAGGATTAAAATGATATTTAGGCTTTAGATATTTACTTCTTAGATGTTATTTTTGTTAATTGGCACTACATCCAAGCAAAAGGTGATATTCATTTTCAATTTCATATTAAAGTTCCAAAGCATAGACAGTAGGCACATAGTCGGTCTTCTTGTTCTATGTTGAGATTTTGTCCTCAATCATGAGGGTGTGGCAGGAGCATCGGAATCTTGATAGGGCTTGTGTAAATATAAGTTTATTAACATGAAGGAAATCATGTCTATAGTATCGAGGATAATGGACTATAGTTAGAGATGACTTGAAAAGCGAGTAAGCAATGAGATTAGGGTTTGAGTTCATTAAAGTGTGCCAGGTTTGGATTGCAGAGCCTCTCACTCCCTGTTTGAATTCTGATAGAAAGGCATTGATATGTCCAGCATTCTGACACTTCCATACATATCCAAATCCATATTGGAAAAGTACATTTTTAATGTTGGTAACCCATGAAGTTCTGCCGACATCATCCAGTTTTTTTAACATCTTGTAAGTCTGTTTAGGGATTCTTTCGTTGTCCATATGTATGATTTTTGTCCAGTATTTATTTTAATAACATTTTAAAATACAGTTAGTATATCTTCTGCAATCTCCTAGAATGGCATCATTACTGGCTGAGGATGGTAAATACAAAATCCTCCTGAAATATTTCTGTGCTTTACTTAAGAATAGGCAAGATCATACTGTCAAAGAGTTTCGCTGCTGTTAAAAAGCATGGAAATCCGCTTTGATTGTAATATTTGATCGGATTATGCTTACCAAAATCTTTCACCTTGCAAATTTGTATATGACTGTAAATGTGATATACCATTATGTACTTAAGTATAAAAACAATTACATGTATAATCGCATTACTCGGACCTTGTATCGCGACATTCATTATATCGTGGCACGTGGAAACATTGGAGAAGCAGAAACACCACACCCCGCATTGGCTGCTTACATATGCAAATTATGTAAAAAAAATCATTGCTCTTGAAAAAGTCATTTATTTCATTGGAATGTCATGTCTAATTGTAGAAATATTAAAGTATTCATCTTTGCAGTAACATTTTGAAACTAGTATGACCCCTACTGCCATTGCAGCTTGCACGAATCAAAACTTACTTTGCCAAGAGTAATCCTGCGACAACTGTAAGGTCATTTGCATATTTTCCGTCCTAAAACTATATCAGGAAGTGACATATTGTGCAACTTCACCCTGCACGTGACAGCAAATTGTATGGCAGGTTTTAAGGTGGCCAAAATTAATTATGTTACATTATTGCTACCTTATATTCAAATGAATAGAAGGTTAAGATGTTTTGGTTCAAAACATGATGATATTACTTATCTTAATGAAATTCCTAAATAATTTTTAATATTAAGACGATTTAGATTCGTTACTTGTCTTAAGTAAATGTTTGATAGTGTCATTTGCTTGTACCATGTGCCATAGTAAGAAAATGGCAATACCGCGATACGATGGAGACTGGAGTTCTCTCATCTAATTGCTCTTGCTGAAAAAACATCAAAGTTAAAATAATAGTCTTTTCTCAAATATGTAGATTAAATGTCATGCTCATCAGATTTCATAATAAAATAGGCCTTATGAGTTCACAATTTATTTCCCATTACGGATATATCAAGTACCACGATACAACGAGGTCGCAGGCAACATGTTATTTTTACAACAAAGAAGTTAAGAGTGACGACACTTTCTTTTATTAGGGAAATTGTATATAATAGAATAATTATTATGAAACCCTCTATTATCTTGGCAGTTAATGTTACCGCTATCAGGATTATGAAAGCCAACTGACATTTGGTATTTTATATATATTTTCATTTATTTTATTTAGTTTTATCTTCATTTCTGTTTTAAATAATGTTGTATATAGTCACTCCTCATTCAACAAGATTTTCAACACTGTCAAACATTTACTTTCCACAAGTATTGAATCCTAATATATTGAATGTGAAAATTATTCAGGAATATCATTAGGATTAGTTATGTAATTTTATTTTAAGTTTAACCAAAACAATTTAAACTTATATTCATTTGGATACATGGTAACAGTAGTGTAACATAATAATATTTAGCCTTAAAGTGTGCCATAGAATTTGCTCCTGTGTGCTGTGTGAAGTTGCACAATATGTCACTTCCGGTTATGTTTTTTGGACAGTAAAGATGCACTTGACCTTATAGTTCTTGCAGGATTACTCTTGGCAAAGTTAGTTTTGATTTGTGCTAGGTGCAATGATGATAAGTCAAACTAGTTTCAAAATATTCTAGAACCTAATTCAAAGATGAATACTTTACTTTATATATGATTAGACGAGATATTCCACTGAAATATATCCATTTTACTAGAGTGATGAATTTGTTTACATAATTTGCCAATGTATACAGCCGAAACGGGTATTGTGTTTCTACTTCCCGATGTTTCCACATGCCACACCCATTTCTGATGTCCCCTGCCGTGATATTGCTGGAATATTGCTAGAATCGGTGTAAAACCAAACTCACCCACCCAATAAAGTGCACCCCTTCCTCTGAGGATGTCATGGATATATAGCAATCAGTGGTTTCCATTTGGCATTTCTCATGTCTCTTGTAAATATTCAATCTAAGATTGCGTTATAACATGGTTTAATTTGAATGGTATGCTATTGTAGATGTAGTTTTGTTTCCCTTTAATGTCATCTTTTAATTTTGTTGATTTTTAACAGTAGTGTAGTTAAGTAGGCACACATGTTCAAATTTCAGTTAGTGCAGCAAAGAGGATCGAATTCATGTTGCCAGCGTGAATCTGAGCTAGACTAAGGAGTTAGTCAACACCCCAAAAGGAGCACTATCCAAAATAGAAACAAGTTTTCCAAGTTGTCAATGTTTTGCCTTTGTGCACAATGACCAATTTCTCTGCAAAACTAGAAACTCCTTAGATATATATATATATAAATAAATAAATAAATAGCAAACCCATACCCTACCTCACAACCTTAGGACTGTAAAAGTGTGTCTAACCTAAGGATTGTAAAATGGTATTAGACTAGAAAGGATATCTAAGAATAGAGTTTGAGGTAGCATAGCCTAACAATAGGATCAAATTCAAAGAGGCAGGAGATATTTGTGAATCCAGAACAGCCATTAGTTGCCTTACCCAGCTGGCACTATAGTAAGCTGCACTCAGTACACTCCATTATTACGATTTTAACTTCTCTGAGAGAATTGTATGCCATAACCAATTTTTCTAGGACATCTGTATGTTTTCATTATATGTTTTCTGATATGGGGTTTTCACTGAGTTTTTGATGTCAAGGAATCTTAACTTGGGTCGAAACATGACCTTGATCAAATACTTAATGGTTATTAATATTAACACAGGGCTCCAGATAAGGGCTGTATCGGTGTATGTACGGATGAAAAATATGCACAATACCGTAGGAAATAATTTAGAAAATGTAGCAGATACGCACAACAGCAATGGTGTACGGTCTTAGAATCATCTGAAAAAGTATTGTTTTATTGTTCATTGACCTGTTTACACAAAAGTACCAATGTTGTGGTGCATATATGAAACGAAACACACGATTACTGATACTCCATTAATTTCATTCAGTACTCTAAATGTACACTTAAGGTTTTCCAGTACTCCTATATTGATCAAACAAGGAGTACGTACTCCTGATGTTGAAAAATTATCTGGAGCCCTGTAGCATATGCAAGTCTTGGATTCTTAGAAAGACAGTCTTTTTCTCTGAACTGGCAACTCATTAATATGTTGCTCTCTTCCCAATTCCAGTCTGCGACGGTCTAGGTCAAGGTCACCAGTCAGACGGTCCCGGTCCCGTTCACCAAGACGAGACCGTGATAGGGACCGTGAACGACGTCGGCCAGTCAACCTTATCTCAAAGAGAGTCATCATTAGTAATATTCCGTATGAGATGAAATGGCAGGATATCAAGGACTTGTTCAGAAAGGAAGGTCAGTCTCAGGAATTAAAGTTTAACATGAACATTTATATCAAGTGATTAAGCAATTACAGTTTGACTGGCTAGTTAATTCATCATTTCATTTAATATTTGATATTGAAACTTAGTTAATCATTTGTATGCTCAACTTGGATCAGAAGAGTATTGCTCCTAAAATCTAGTTTAATTAAAAGTTATGACTAACATATCATATGGCAAAATGGTTTATTAGTCATTGAGTATCTCCCAGTTACACTTGAAATTATTTCATTTCAGTTGGAGAGGTTGCATATGTTGAACTTTTTGAGTTACCTGATGGGAGACCGAAAGGAGTGGGGTAAGTGTTCTTGTTGCAATCTTGCAATGATAATATCTGATTACCTCCCTGTCTTTTTGAGAGACACTATCATTTATGACTAATTTATTATCTGTTTAAACTAAGTGATATATGTGAAATGAAGCATGAAAGTCATGGGTCCATCTTATAATACTTTTGTCATTTATTAATTTAATGTGATGCATTATACATGTAAGTAACATTGGTGACATTCGGTTTTCCAGTGTGGTGGAATTCAAAGACAAGGAAATAGCTAGGAAAGCTATTGAAACCATGCACAAATACAAACTGAAGGACAGATTTATGGTTGTCCGTGAGGTTTGTATGCTCTTTCACAAAATTCTTCTTGAATATTTCATACACATAATGACACTGTTGATTTTTCATTTGATAGGTTCGTAATTCAAGTATTTACTTTTTGTTAATGATTGATACTGCTTTCAAATTTATCTTTTAAAGACAAGTCGAAGGTATTTTTTTCTCCAGTCGTCAGTCTGTGTCTACCTGTGTACATTAAGTTTTATTGTCTCCCAGCTTGTAGATAAATTGAAACTTGTGAACTAGTCTCAAATGATACGAGCTAAAGAGGACTTCCATGACTGGTATTCATTAGCCAACAGCACAATTTACTGGCAAACAAGGATAAGTTGGACCCGCGCAGAGAACGCGTTTACGAGAAGTAGGCGGTGCACGGCAGTGAACAAACCAATTTGGCTTGTGAAAGGTAGAGCAGATGTAGGCTAGTGCACTTTCATTGCATGACGATGAAATTGATTCCTCACGTAGCTGTTGAACTCAGTGTTTGCTGAGACAGGCCACAAGTTTCACTACACTTGATTGCGGACAACCTGGGAGCTGTTCGCTAACAATGGCAAGCGCCAGTGGGCTTCACTCATACATGCTAATATGGGTCAATTGTCAGGTCGGTGCTCAACTTATTCTTGTTTGCCAGTAGTAGAATAGGGCTAGTGTGATATACAAACTGTTTCTGGACGTAATGATTGTTGACCTCAGTGATTAAGTTTTAAGATGTCTTTCATATCTACTTTGTTTTTCAGGAACGTGAAACTGACATGAGGATGCAAGGAGGCATGGGTGGGGGTGGAGGAATGGGTGGTGGTGGAGGTGGAGGAGGAGGAATGGGTGGGGGAGGAGGCATGGGAGGGAGAATGGGAGGTGGAATGGGTATGGGTGGCGGAGGTGGTGGTGGTGGAGGAGGTGGCATGGGTATGGGAGGAGGAATGGGTGGGGGGATGATGGGAAACATGGGAGGTGGAAACATGATACCTCATGGAATAGACAACCAGACCCTTCAACAATTAGGAATTGAGGGTCCTGTCACCAACACAGTGTTTGTTGCCAATGTAAGTAGACAGTGTTAGAAAGTTGTCAATACATATTTTCACCTAGAAGGGCAAGATACATGAAACGAATAAAGCATAGACTTGCACATTAATTCCTAATTTTCCGGAGGCAACATTTTGTCCAGTTAATGTTATAACATTTCGTTGGTTTATTTAGAAATAGTGAACAATTGGTATATATATTATATAGTGTAACTTTTCATACCTAACCAGAGTGATTGCTATATTCTTTGGTAGCTTGACTACAAGGTGACATGGAGGAAGTTGAAGGATGTATTCAAACTTGCTGGTAATGTGCTGAAAGCTGAAATCAAAACTGACAAAGAGGGCAAGAGCCGTGGCATGGGGACTGTGGAGTTTGAGATGCCCCTTGAAGCTGTACAGGCAATTTGTATCCTTCACACTGGAATCTTTTTATGTAAATGTAAAACTGACTGTTACTGTGGATGTAAAACATGCCGGTATTGATGCCAGTCTCAAGGGCAATCTGGGAAACCTATTAATATTACTCTGTGAAAGTTTTTTTATGGAATGTTTGATCACTGTCGGATACAAGTAAGCTTGGTTGTACTGTCATAAGACATGGATGTTATGACAAAGTCACACCCTGCTCTTGTGTTACAAGTATATTGATGATTAGTGTACAGCTACTTTAGTAGTGGTTGTTCACCTCAGTACAGTTGTCATTTTAGTGAGTTTTTGGTAATTGTGCTCATGGAGTATTGAATTGGTACTGATGGAGATGTCGACAGCTTCTGCATGTGTAGTGAGCGAGTGAGTGGTTTTACTCCGCCTTTAGCAATATTCCAGCAATATCATGCAGGGGACACCAGAAATGAGCTTCACACATTGTACCCATGTAGGGAATTGAACCTGGGTCTTTGGCGTGACGAACAAATGCTTTAACAACTAGGCTACCCCACCGCCCCTCTGCAGATGTAGTGGAACCTGATATTTATCAGACCAATTTCTTTTTGTGCATAAGGAAAACATACTATTGCTCAGTAAAATTATGTTTTTTGAATTAAAATGTAATATTTTAAAATGATTTTTTCCCTTAACTATGTGAGCTATGTTTAATGGTCAAACATTGTTTGAACGCAACATGGTGGTCCGAATGGATAAAGCAAAAGAAGATCAGCCTCCACCAATGCCCAAACTTCCACGTAAGTTCCTGCCATTTAATCAAGCATCATTGTAAATTCTTTATTGCATCATTGTAAATCCTCTTTTATTTTTCCCCTGCGTAAACATTTATAATTTTGAGAACATTTTGATGAATGTATGGGAAGGATTGAAATATGTTATGAATTACCTGATGGTGAATGAAGCAATTTGTTCAATGGGAAACTGTTTTCTGTTGCAGCTGGTTTGAAGTCAATTGGTATGGGTCTTGGAGCTGGTGGAATGCCATTGCATAATAATCCACAGATGTCCAGTAAGTCTCATTGAGCATTTTATTTTAACATTACACATTTGGTGATATATGTTTGCACAAAATAATGGTCCCCAACATTTGCTTTGTATGGTCCAGGTCACTTTCGTGAGAGATTTTTGGAATAGAAGTCCTTATGATGAAGCAAAGTACGAATGTATCCAAACAGCATGTCCTCTAGTAACATATGTTATATTTGGGATTACACTTTCTCAATAAAGTACAGATTCTAGTACTTTTGTTGGGTTATAAGAACCGCAGCTTCCACAAAAGTGGGCGTCAGACAGCTGGTAGTGTGGACCATGGACTTTGTATACCCCTCTGATAAATGTAAATTGGCATGAAAGCTATGAATACACAATGCCATTTACACATATCCAGAGGGGTACACAAAGTCTGTGGCCCAGACTACCAGTTGTTCAACTTCTATTTTCTTTCTTTAAGATGTAGGATAGTTTGTGTCCTTGACATATGACATATCAATCCCCACTGTTAAATGTCATAAGACTGTAATGTCAGTGAGCATCCTTGTTTCATAATCATGCTTGTTGTGTTTCAGACATGGGAGGAATGGGCAACATGGGAGGTGGCATGGGGATGGGAGGAGGCATGGGGATGGGCAGTGGCATGGGTGGTGGTATGGGTAGTGGTATGACAGGAGGAATGGGTGGTGGGATGGGCACAGGTATGGGGGCTCAATCTCTGGGAGGTGGTAACATGGGCGGTGGTATGGGTGGTGGGGGTATGGGCAACATGGCGACAAGCATGGGTGGTCTTGGTAACATGGGTTCCATGGGTGGTCTTGACATGAACAGTGGGATGGGAGGTATGGGGGGCAATATGGGAACAATGTCAGGAGTAGGTGGCAGCATGGGAATGGGAACAGGCATGGGGAACACCATGGGAACAGGATCCATGGGAATGGGCACTGGCATGGGCAACTTTGGCATGGGGTCAGGCATGTCGGATAATTTTAGTGGAATGGGCAACAATAAGATGGGATCTGCAAGTGGAATGGGTGACTCGTTCAACAGCTCAATGGGTATGACTGGATCAATGTCTAACATGAGCGGAATGTCGGGCAGCAACATGATGGGCGGGAGTAGCATGGGCGGCGGCAACTGGGGCTCCAACTCTTCCAATATGGGAGGTAGCAGTATGGGATCAGGATACAGTGACCGAGGGGATAAGTCCCGCTCAACTAGACCTGATGCCTGCACAGTTATTGTAAAGAATGTGAGTATCTAGATTTGTTTTGGCTATTTCCATTCACAAAGCTAATGGGCTTTGGAGACTCACACACATGAAATGAACAGAAGAGTAAGAAAACTTTATATAGCTGAAGTTTATTGTCTCTACGTTAGACTGAATAGATAACCTTAGATTTACTTTTTCAGCTTCCATACTCGTTTTCATGGCAAGCACTGAGACAAAAGTTCAAGGGTATTGGTAAGAAACTTTCTGTTGTCGTTATTATTATTGATGTTGTTAATATAATTATTAAAGTATTCAAATAGTTCAGTATTGTTTGAAAACAATAAAGCTGCTCTGTTGTTGACATTTCTGAAGAGCCAAGGTGATTTATTTATAGGTGATGTGAAGTTTGCAGAGATTGAGAAGGAAAATGGTCGATCAACTGGCGTGGGTCTGGTTCGGTTTGGCAATGCAGATGATGCACAGAGAGCAATCTGTATCCTTGGAAATGTGTTTTTGTCACCAATTTGTGTGTAGTTTGACACTGTAGAGCTGTATACTGTGTCTCAAATTGTTTTCAGTTTACATTGTTTTTGAAAGTGACTGTTGCTATTCCTTGACCCTCTTCCCAGCATCCATGAACCGAACTGACTGTGATGGTCGTGAAATGTGTGTGCGTCTCTACCAGGGCTGAATATGTGAACCCAAATCACATGTACGTACCCCATGGGTCATGTGACATCAACATTGATATAGCAGTTCGTCAGCGTATTGTTGCAGATTCTTTCTTTTGGGCTTGATTTCCTCGTGCAAAGTTGTGTTTCACAAACATTCATAAGAGACATTGGCCATTGTTTTTGAAGCAAAGAATTGCTATAAATATCTGAGGAGATGTTATAACCTCTCTGTATTCATATTGTACTTACTTTACTCATTCAGTCTATAGTTCTTCAGTCTTGTCTCATTGTTAGTTATGTGCAGTGAATATGATGATCAGGATCAAGGTTTGATACTAATTTCAGTCACTGAATATTTTCATACGTCTAATATTTCTTATTATGTCATTAGTAATTACTTCAGTGGTTTTTATTATTCAGGATCAAGGTTTGATACTAATTTCAGTTACTTAATATTTTCATACATCTAATATTTTTTATTATGTCATTTGTAATTACATCACTGTTTTTTATGCTCAGGATCAAGGTTTGATACTAATTTCAGTCACTGAATATTTTCATACATCAACTATTCTTATTATGTCATTAGTAATTACATCAGTGGTTTTTATAAAACAATGTATTGTCATAAGGGATTAATAAATAATTTGAAAGGATATCAGTTGAATTCAAATTTTATTGTGGAAATCGCTTCCATTGCATAGTTATCGACATTTGGTTCAATCAGTATAGATTCCTGGTTATCAGTGTATTGATTATAGACACTGGAAGGGGCTTGGTTGATGAAGAACAATTTTCTGGCAATGATCTTTGTTGGTCTCTTTGATAACAAATTGATCCAAGTAGTGAAAGCGAGTGTTGTGTGTTCCTTTGCATTTTGTAATGCAGGAAAATGGATTTGAAGCTACATGTAGTTCATTTTCCTGGGTTGCTTAGCAATCAAGTCAATTTTTTACTCAAAAAGTAATGTCAGTGGTTTAATCTAACATTTGTGGTGACAAATTTTGAAATTTTGTTACATGCTGTTTGGGTGACTGATCATTGGCTGCTTCTGTTTTGGACTCCTGGAGATTCTGGACGTACTTTTGGTGGAATGTGTGGTCAAGTATACCATGAATGGTCAGCAAAACAGTCCACTCTTTGCCTTAACCATGGCCTGAGAATGTCATCACTGCTGAGAAAGTTGTTCAACTATGGGGAAGGGATGATTTCTTAGTTCAAGAGAACTGTTTTGTACTTAGTTATTCAATGCTGTTCTTTAATGCGTCTATGTTAACCCTTTCAAGGAGATAAGATTGAAAGAAATTGTAGCAGTAGTTTATATGATGGGGTATTTTGTGCAAGTAGATACACTCATAATGAAGTCATTAATTTTATGCTTACTATAAAGACACTTTAGATTTTCAGTTGTCAATTTTGTCACGATCAGTATAGAAACTGCTTCAGATTAAGTTGTTTTTGTTTGATAGTGTTAGTGTTGATGAGAACTGAGAGAGGTATTTAGAGTAGTTATTTAGATTTATACTGCTGCCCACAGAGACCGAGAATAGTAGCAACTAGCAACTGGATATATATTTTGTCAGGAATAATGTGTCGTGTTTTACTTTCTTTTCATATTGCAAGTTACTATGTACATGTTGAATGAAGCACCAATCCACAGACCATTAGGTTTCCATATTGGTGGAATTTTATTTCTCAGAACAATAACTAATCGTGACACTTTTGTGATAAAGGATACCATTTGGGTACTGAAAGTGTTCACTGTGTGTGGATAGTCATATTCCTTGAGGAACAGCACTTGGAAGAGGTGTTTGGCAAATGTCAGTGGTCGATCATTTGCCAGTTAATGTGGATTTGGTCATATGCTGTCAGACAGTTTACATGCTTTTCAACGTAGAGTTGATTGTACAACATGGCGGTTGGATGTTACTGTCTTCTTCTGGTGGTGGAGTAAGTATGTCTTGGTGAGGACAACTTGTTCCTTGCTGTGTGTCATGTTTTTTGTCATGTGTGTTATCAGCTTAAACATAATAGATGCTCAATTGTCTTTCAAATGTTTGACAGTTGCAAGGTTTTCTGTAATTTATTGCTATTTTGTCCTCCATGTTAATTTTACTGATAAACGAGGTAAATGCAATGCTCATGTTGTATAACAATTTTGCTGTGTATCATTGTCTGGGATTTTGACATATGAGAGAAGCAGTATTTTAACACCATTATCAACTGTTGTCTAGTAACATCTAGAATATCTTGGCTTGGCCTCCTGCAGTAGATGTTGTGTGTGTCTTTGACATTATATGAAATAGAGGCTGGGTAGACACCTGATTCGAGGGAGATTACTTGGTAGACAGCTCATTCAAGGGAGATTACTTGCTCAATCAAGGGAAGGTATCCCTTGCACCATGTGATTGTGGAATCTTGAGGCTGACGTCAACATCGGAGGAGTTGTTTTCCAAGTTACAGGCAAATGTGTTGATTTCATTTTCTTCATTGCTTTGTTCATAAATATTTTGGTCGATTGCATCAGTTGTTATAATGCTTGCACATTTGTAACCTCTCCTCTGTTGCATCTGTATTGGAGGTAATGATTGGGTTGTTTCCGTCAATTGTTCTCCTTTCCATGTGAAGGACATGTTATCTTGTGCAAGCCAGCCCGCAATGCCTAATATTTCTAACTTGCTTTATGATAATAAAAACGTTTGTCATTTCACCCTGTAATTTGTAAAATGTAATTTCAAATTAAAAGAAAAATATGATGGATACTTTATTAAATGGTTCAGTTTAATCATTTGTATGATTTATCCTTTTCTGAAAGTTCATGTGTAAAGCATGTTTTTCACATTTGCAGGTGAGTACAGAAAGGTGATTTTTTCCAGACCATGGAAAGTTCAGCTATGGGAGCAGGCTCTGTCCAGGTGAGCTAAACAGTCTCTTGAAGTTGTATAACAGCCATTACAAACTGCATGATCACAGAATATTAAGATTTACAGGCTTATTTCTAATTATCAGGGACATGTCATCCTTGTCCTCTCGTTATAGAACCATTTAAAGCTTATCACATCTGAAACAGTTTCCATGGTTACTGTGGTCTCACATTCTTGAGCCACCTGATGAGTTGGCAGCACCCTCATATTTCCTGAAAATTATGAATTTGAAAAATTACTCGAAGCAATTTATGTTGGGTGTAAACACAACACCATTCCAGTAATGTACTGAAAATGTCTGAACATTTTTTACTATACTAGTTTTCTGTCACAGCATTTCCTTATACTCTTGCTTCATGGTGGTATTTCTTTTAAGGGTTGAAGAGGGCCTTGGATTAACAGATAAATCCTGTTCAGCTCCACCAAACAAAGCTGTGATTATTCCACTGAAGCCAACTGTGAGTATTCTCAGTTGTATGACTTGGGTTAATTCTTAAACCTGTATCAAAATGGTTTGTCTAGTACAAAACTGGGCCACCAACCTACACGTGTATATCTTTTCCACATGATCAGTCGTCAGAAGTGAATATCAAGGTGTTCATTGTATTTTTGAACATTTATATTGATGCGACAAAATCACGTGTCCCTCCAATATATGGTTATGTTTACCCTATGAATGAAAAATGCCATTTAGAAAGTTGTGAAATGTAAGACACATGATTATTGGCGAGTACGTGCCTGACTTAATGATTCCCATTTATCAGATGAAACATTTGCCTGTTTTGCAGAACTCCAGGTGCTATCACATGCCCCAAGACAAGAGCTTGAGGTTCAAGGAAGTGGACGAATGAGAAGGAAGAAATCAAATCTTAATAATTGTAACATCATCAGTCTTCATTAAACACTTGTACACATCAGTCATGTTGTGTGTTGCTTCAGCTGGGATACATGATCAGTTTTCTGTTCTATGTCTCCCTCACGACTATTTCTGTAATTGAATCTATGATATGTTTTAGTTGGGCGTCTATTGCTGAGAGAAATATTTCCTAAATTTGTTATTTACAGGATGCTGAAATTATCCAAAGCGCAGCGTAAATGCTATATTATTGTTGAGCATTCTTGTGGCCATAAAATTGATCTTTCCTGTATGTTAGAATGTTGAAGTCTGATTTGGTTTATGTCATCTTGATAAGATGTCATGTATCCTGTAAATACAATTCTGAGGATCATAAATCTGTTAAACAGGCTGTACATGGCTCTCTGAGCAGGAAAACAATTTCCTTGCAACCCTATTTGAAGCAAAAAGCTGCACATTGCTTACAAGTTTAAATTCACAAGACACAGCAAAAGTACAAAAGTTCACCTCAGCTTTGATGCAGGACACATACAAACTTATACTGTATACTCCTTGTGATACTGCTTCAACGAATATTGTTTTTTGGGGGCACTGACTATCAGATGTGCATTTCAGAGTGCTACATTTTAATTAGGAAAAAGTCCTCATGTACCTTTTGGTGGTTACAGTGATATAACAATGTTTTCTTGTACTGGCTTGGAGAAGCACACACAACAGTTGTTTGTCATCATTGATATATTACTAAATAGGTGTTATGATGTGAATTATCACACTTTTCTCAAATAGGTATCTCATAGTAATGGTCTTAATAGATTCATGATTTATATATAGTCTCTTTGCTTTGGAAACAATTCTTAAATTGATTTAGATGAAGAAAGATCAATCTAACCTGTGTTTTCTTATCAATATGGAAATAATTTTCCTCTGCATCAGGGAAAATTAAGATAGAAAACTTTTATATTTCATGTCAGTATGAAACATCAGAGTGCGTGGGAAACGGGGGGAAGTATGGACAGCCTAATAATGTTGACCAGTTGACAAGCAAAAGTGAAAACAGGAAATGATGTTAAAGTAACTACAAGTTACATATTTCATTGATACATTTATTATTTTCCCATATGACACACCATGCTTAAAAAGATCAAGCTGACTATGGCTTAAAATAATAACAAAATTAAACGATTTAAAAGTCTTACATGGGAAACCATTATTACACGCACAACAAAATCATAATAAATAGGATAAATTACATCTAACACATGGCTGTGGTACAATTATAGTCTGTACAATAAGGGTATTTACAAATTACTATCACAATAACAATTAAAACAATTTAAAACAAGATTTGTGACACAATGATTCCTGTATATGGTGAAATAGCAATATTCTCGTATTGCTGATGTGGTGAAGACTTTCAAGACGGCAATGTTCACATTTCATGTGCAGAGAATGTTATTCAAAGGGAAAAAACTGTTGGTGGGAAATAAATCTGATTAAATATCCTATATGACTACCAAATGACAAGCCATATCCTGTTAACCATTACTCACAGTTCAGCATCTCTTTCTTTGCCATATCTATACACTGGTTCATTTTCTGTTAAATTCATGAGAGACGTCATGTCGGCATTCACACTGGCTGACAGTGGGTCATTGGTGTAAATACTGCATAAACATACTCAAAATGGAACTTTCCTCTAATTATTATCATAGCTACTGCTTTATGTATGTGAAGGTGAAAATGCCTTTTGTACTGATGACAATAACAATCAATAGAAAATTCTAATTGCACTGCATTCAATGTTAAAATACCTCTGCACTGAAAGCAATAAGGACTTATGGACGAGGCAGTGCTTGGTGACAACCATTCAATGGGCTGCAGTCTGATAGACTATGACAGGACATCAAACACACAGGGATGCTGTTACAGCCCTGTATCCTGCATGACAGTGATCTTTGGGAGAGGGCCGTTTACAATCATCATTTTGACATTCCACAGACCAATATAGAAACTATTTACACTATTTATTTAAAGAATACTCAACATATATTTGTAATTATTTTTCAAACAAGTAATGTTTTAAAGGTTTAAAGGAGGCAAAAGATGAGCTGTCTTTAGTCCATTAGTATAAGTAATAATTATAAAAACGCTGCTGCTACATTTGAAGGCGTGTACATTCCTAATACTTCAACATGCACTTTTGAGTGCTTATGTTAGGGAGCAGTCGTTATTACCTGGATGATGAGTCAGAGGGAATTTAGAATGTTCATTTGAACATATGAGTGAGTGATGGTCAAATACAATAATACACTTTTGGGGAGGATCATGAAAAATGTCCATTTTATAGCAAAATATAAAGAGATTATGCATTTTGTCTTAAAGAGCAGGCTCAAAATTTTCATTACATTAGTCCATCAAAAACCTCTGACCAACCCCCTCCTGTAATAGATTATTCTTTCAGCAATATTCATAGAGATACCACTTTGCAGTTAGTCGTCAAAGCTGTTGTCATCGCTGTCTTCTCTCTCTGGGGAACTGCCATGGGTCATCTGGTTGATCTTGGTCAGTCTGTTCTTCAGCATCTGCAGATGGTCTTCACTTGGAGGTCTGCTGACCAGAGATGGCATGTCCTCACTCCCCTCACGCTGTACTGGACGAAGTTTAATGCCCTTCTTTATCATGCCAAATATGTCTCCCAGTGGATCTGTCAAAGATATGATGGGTGTGCAGAGCTACAGATAACATTTTGGGTCATTGAGTTATGTACTCGCTTGTGTTTCATCTCAATTGGGTATCCTAATTTTCCTTCGAGTAACCAATAAAATTGTACCCACCTCACTCAAACTCAATTGGGTTTGTGCCATTTTCCATTAATTGTAAAAATATAATAAAGTTTAAAAGTTATTTATTTTGTATCTGTAATATGAGGAACGATAAGATAGACTGAAAGTTGGCAAGTTCATGTGTTGAAATAGAACCTCTGAATATACCTCAGTTATTTTATCTATGCAAGCTAAGATTCGACATTTTGGTGTGTATGCATGTAAGATATAATTTATTGAGTATTTACAAAAATTCAAGTGTACTTGTATGCAATAGACTTGATAAGAATTGAATTTTAACATACATATTTGCGTAATTTACGCAGATACGCAGCCTATCTGCACCGCTGGGTGTGTTTGCATGAAGCTATCTTCATATACAGTAGGGGCGGGTGGGGTAGCCTAGTGGTTAAAGCCGAAGACCCGGGTTTGATTCCCCACATGGGTACAAAATATGAAGCCCATTTCTGGTGTCCCCTGTCGTGATATTGCTGGAATATTGCTAAAGCGGTGTAAAACCATACTCACTCACTCATATACAGCAGATTGTCACAAACGGACACCACAAATTCATATATTCAACTTGAATGAATGCTGAATGGTAGTTTTGTACCATTCTGTCAACCGTGTTCAACAGGAAATGAACATAAGCAAACAGGTTAGTGATGACATTTTAGGGGGATACATTCTCAGTGATCACTCACCCTCAGTTACCCACAGAAGTATTCCTCCAACATGTTATTATAAATACCCCAGACAACATGGCCACCATAGCCTCATGGCTGAGTCTGATTTGAGGGACAGTTGAATAGCCACCTATGTAAATTACTCCCATGAGCTAGAGAGATGAACATTTTCAGAAGATGTGTCTGGGGCATTTATCATAATACACTGGAGATAAATATGCTGGCCTATCAAGGAAAGACTAACTTTTTAGTCCCCAAAATAAGTTTAAAGAATATATCTACAGAAGAACTAGAATTCAAATGGAGCCCGAAACAATGCTTAATTTCAAAGAGCTGAGGCAATATAGAGTTGAGATCATATAGACCTGTTAAATCATTCAAGACTGGAAATGGATTTAGCATTTGATTTGTTCCCCATGGTTTGGGAGACAGACTATACTGAGTCTGGCAATAACAGAAAAGAGGAATTGTGTATCTGATCCTGTTGAACTGACCTGACTGTGATGTTTTCTCTGGTCTCTCCAACAACGGCTTCAGCTGATTCCTGCCTGCCAACAAAGACTGCACTGACGGTGGCCCCCCAGATAACTGGAGAGACGGTTTCGCGTCTGCAGCAGATGACTTCTTCAGTCTGTTCCGTGCTTCTTCCAGGTTACCAAATGGAGAAGACCCTTGTGACCCAGCTCCAGTGAGGTGAGAAGGGGCACCTGTTGGGATTGGGGGGGGTGGAGGAGGAGGAGGAGGTGGTGGTGGTGGTGGTGGTGGTGGAGGCGGTGGTGGAGGCCCACTTGGAGGTGGATTGCTACTTTGAGGTGGCATAGAAGTGGCTGTATCATTTTCCAACATGGATCCTGTTAGAGTCTGTCCATTAACGAAGATTGTGACACCTGAGTCAGTGGTGTCCTTGGCAACTGCAGGCCTCACAAACTTCTTTCTGTCTCTGGGCGATGGTCTGGCAGAACCTTTATTACTAGCGAGGGAGTTGCTTCCCCTTGATTTAACTTGAAGGGACAGAGTATCGTTACCACCTGGCGATCCTTTTCTCTGGCTTGGTGGTTGGTATCGAGGTGGCTTGATTGTGGCTGGTGTTGGGTATTTCTGGAGGCAAAGCACATGTTTAATATTATGCAGCAAAACTACCACTTATTCATACATTAGGTATTTATTTATACCTATGTTATAGATATATTTGATACCTCTGGTACAATTTGGATTAGAACATTTGGACCTATGCACTGTGCATTCCAAGCAGATTGCACAGGCAATACTCCCGTCCAATGTGTGGTTACTGTATGTTGGACAAGTGGAGTGTGTTTGTCCTGATGGGGTTCTGTAAAGTATACAGTTTATACAGGCATGAAACTTGTTCATATCAGTCTGACTGGCCTTAGACTACAAACACTTGACTGCATGAACCTGTCATTTGAAATTGGGCTTTTTTCTTCAATGGTGGAGTTTGTGTGATATGCAGTGTATAAATTGTGGAACTTCAGTATTTGCCTGTGTTCTCTGATAGATAGAGAACATGTGCCAGTACTTTATTGGGATAGAAACACAATGCTGCAAGACTGGTTATTTAGAAGATCAAGTATTTATCCAATTAAGAGTACTGGCAGTGGTTCTCTATTACTGAAACATGAAGAAAATAGAAGTATTTCCTGTTTCCTATTTCAAAAGCTGTTTTGCTGTAATTGTTAACCAAGTCAGTAAACAAATACATTGCTCTGTGCATGATGCATGATGATGAACAACAAGAAGGTAGTGTAGAATCCATAAAACTGGTGTCACTTACAACTTTGTAGGATTTGAGTCTATCAATAGTCTTCTGCCTTTCTTCTTGAATAAAATCCATCTTTCTGCCTTCTTCATCTTTCCTCAGATCTCTTTTCTGAAAACATCCCCACACAGATGAATCATATACTGAATACAATCTTCAGACCATATTTCCATTCATTCTGAGCTAGTTGGCTCAAACCCATATTAGGACAGTGTTTCAACTAGGGCTGTGCAATATTACCGGTAAACCGATATGATTATCGCGATATGGTTCAGATTCTGCAATATATTGGGTCATCCAGAGTTAGCTCCCTTTGTATTATCTGCCCTTGGTTTCCAAAGCAAAAAAATGTGCTCTAAAAGTGCCAAACATATTTTTATTTCTGTTGGTTTCATGTAACATTTTACAAGTGGGAGTATCTTTATAAGTGGCTCCAAAAGTGCCAAATACTCTACTAAATGCTTTACGTTTTGTGGGTTTGAATGGTTTCATATGTGACATTTTGATGGCTTGGGGGGTGATGACGATTTTTATTTTTCAACGATTTTTTAACGATTCACAGCTTAAGACAGAGAAAGAGCCATTGTGATGGCGCAGATGGGGTCGTCAATTAATGCAGTTGCCAATGCCGTATCATGGTTATAAGACTTATTCAGCTCTACAGACAGACTTGGGTCACCGTAGACAGACCAAGAAGTGGACATCCACGCATCACAACGCCAGCTGAAGACAGGTACCTCCGTCATTAAGGAAGGAGGGTAACGTTTCTTTTGGCGTTTAGTGTATGTTATTAATTTATCAAAAAGGTCTAAGTCTTTCTAAAGGTCTAAGTCTTTCTAACTGTATAATGACATACTAGTCAAGGATGTTAGTTACTGGAGGTCACATGAGATGTTAAGCTCAAATAGTTTATGTTTTTGTTTCATTTTGCAATAGTTTATATTGGAGTTGAATCTGATTTTATCACTGACATACAGTAACAATAATTGCAGCTGTATTGAAGTGCATTCTGTTGAAGAACTGTCCATGAAACTTATGTTATACTATTACTATACTTTATCATTATGTTCTCAAACCTTTGTTGCAATACCTCAATTAAACATTCCACATCAAGGTTCTATATTGTTTTATTTATCTGTAAACGATTGGCATACACCCATACACAATGGGGACTGGGACCCTGAAAGTATGGTGTAACAGCAACTAAGAAGATACTGTCGCACACTGTCGAGAGCTATTATGAATTTATGATGTACGCACTTGGGCAGAAACCCTCCGTTCAATAATGTAAATTTCTGACTATAATTGATATTTTATACTTATTCTGACACATGCTAATTGTGCTTGTCTCCTTCCTCTTGCGAATGATAGTGGAACACTTGAAATCCCTTGAAGTTCCCTTTCTAAAAAAGCGGATGTAAAATCACTCACACACAAGTAGCGTCCCTTTCCTCCCTTTTGGCGCCCAAATGGTCACATGATCAGCCAGGGAAATCCAGAGTGCCATAAGAGGGGTGGTTGGGAGGGCTAACCTCATGAGTCAGGATAAGTATATTAATATCTATTTTAGTCAGAAAATTACATATTTTTCCTTATCCTGACTCACTCCTACTCTTGCAGAATCCGTCGGAAACGGTGGTGGGTCAGGCCACATTCTGGATTCACTGGTTGTAGATTTACGTCCTGTATTACCCCCCTTGGGAACTTATGACGGCACTGTTAAAGGTTCTGTTCTTTCAACTTCTTTCTGATGAGTCTTGGGGGACCACAACTTGTCAGATTTCTCCGAAACTTCTCCTGACATTTTCGTGTGGATTTTAGATATACTAATATTCCATTATCTATTGCAACTCCATCTCCTCTTGATGCACGCATCAAGTGGAGATGCGACCTTTCTTCATGTACAAGTATGTCCTATACAAGTACAGGGTCTATCACTCATGCTAGTCTGTCCTAGACGTGTGCATGGACTTATAGCCATTGCTCTCCAGAACATTGGTTTTCACAAGTCACGTGATAAAAGTGGTGAGATTTACTCAGCGCCTTTGTGGAACTGTTAGTTGTTGTGCTACAACAAGTGTCCCAACCTGGTGAATGCCTGAGACGTCTTCGGTGGCAATGTCTCTGAGGTAGTGGTTGGCAAACACCGTGTTCGATCTCCAAAAGCAGCCCTCAATTATAGTTGTAATCGAGTTTCCATGCAGAGCGAGCAGTTTCTTCATGTGGATTGAGGCCAGTGTCAAGTCCTGCTGCTTTATAGGCCCTTGGTATAATGGCTCTCATCCCGATCTCGTTGTCCGACTTCCGTGGGCATCTCGGTGGATAAGGGGATGAATAGGCTCCTTGTTTTAGTTCTCTGTAAGTAGACTTTAAGTCCTCTGACTGGGCATAAGGATAGATCCTGTGTATCCTGTGGCCCGAGGACTGTAGATAGTGCTGGAATGTGGCACTTTCTGTCAGGCTGACCAGGCAGTTTGTTCTTGGCGATAAAATCCAATCTTAATCCAAGATCTACGATGTCACGATGTCTTGATTCAAATCGTGTTTGTCCAGAGCATGTATTTCTGACATCCTTGCAGCTGTTGCTAGGGCGATCAGGAAAAGCGTTTTCTGAGTTAGTAGTTCAAAGGGTGTCCATTCTAGAGGCTCGTAGGCATCACTGGTGAGATGTTGTAGAACTATGTTGAGATCCCAGGCAGGAGCCTTAAATTTCTTTTGTTGGTCTTCCAACTTGAACGAGCGTAGTAGTGCCAGAATATCTGGTACTTTGGTCAGCTTGATACCCGTTTTCATTGTGATAACTGTACTGAGGGCAGCTAAGCAAGTTGAGAGTGTTGAACCTTTTAAGTGTCTCGTCTGTTGTAGATGACATAAGTATTCCGCCACTTGAGGATGTGTTGCTTTCACTGCTGTAAAGCCTTTCCTCTTTGCATATTGTTCAAATCTCTGCTGGTGTGTGGATGGACGAGTAGGTTTGACCACTCAAACTAGTTTCAGGGTTGGACTTCCCAGTTCTTGTATGAGGACGGGAAACCATACCCTTGCTAAAATCAGTTGCAACGTAGCCGTATGCTTGATTTTCTGTAGTACTTGTGGTAGCAGTGCAGGAGGCGGAAACGGGTAAGCATTTACTCCTTCACATGAGATGCTTAGAGCGTCTGTTGCCCATGCCTTAGGATCTGGAATCGGTGAGACGAACGTAGGTAGCTGTTTGTCGAACTTTGTTGCAAACAGGTCTATTAGTGGGGATCCTATAGTCTGTCTATTGAACTGGAATGCTTCTGGATGCAACATCCATTCTGTCGGGGATGGTTGTAGTGGACGAGATAGGGCGTCTGCTATGAAATTCTTTGCTCCCGGAATGTGGCATGCCTTCATGTAGATGTTCAGGTCGTCGACTATGCTGAACAGGAGTAGCAGACTTGTTGATCTTGTTGACCCTTGTTTGTTGATGTAAAACGCCACTGTGGAGTTGTCCGTGTGTACCATGAGTCGTGTGTTTCTTAGTACGCTGGACCAATGTTGTAAAGCGTTGATTACTGCTTTCATCTCCAACAGATTGATGTGTGACTTCTGATCCTGACTCGACCACTTTCCTGCTGCCACTTCGTTGTTGAAGTGTGCACCCCATCCTTGTAGGGAGGCATCCACGTAGAGATAAGTGTTGCAAACCGGCTCTGACAAAAAGGTTCCTCTGCCATAGAAGATATGGTTTCAGGCTGTCCGGTAGTATTAACGGATCTAGACTGTCTAGGTGGGCCTTCACAAATACTTGTAGTGGGCGCAACTGTAATCTCCCTCTGCGAGTCATGTTTTGAGCTGAGGTGAGTAGACTGAGCATGCTTTGCCAAGCATGTAGTGTCAACGGAGAGCAAAGCTTGAGATATCATCTGTTGTATCTTGACCCAACATTCCTCTTGAACGACTATGCGATTCACTGGTGTGATGAGTCAAATTCCTAGAAATTGCAGATCTTGTTTCGGCTCCAGTTCCGACTTGAGGAGATTCACTAGCCATCCTAGTTGAGTGAGCAGCCTGATGGTGAAGTCTAGTTGCAGTCTAAGTTGACTGGGATCGTGATGAGCTCGAATCCTGTCGTCCAGGTGGAAAGCACTGCGTAGACCTCGACGATGTAGATATGTGACGATGGTGAAGTCTAGTTGCAGTCTATGCTGGCGAGGTAGTCTGCTGGACGAATGAGATGTCAGAGCTGAGGAAGATGTATCATCTTGAATTTTGCTGGTTTCCTCTAGGAGCTCCGGTTGGGAATACTTTCATGCTGGAATACTTCTTTTCTCTGGCTCTCTGGACTCCTGAAAACTTAGATTTATTGGAGTAGCGTTGGGACTTCTGACGAATCACGTTAGCCAAGGTGTTGATGGATTTAATCATCTCTGGCGACTTCTTCAATTCCTCCTCCGAAGATGTAAGATGCTGACCATTGGGCTATGTATATGGACTTGGTGAAGCGCTCACTCCAAGTGCATGCTGAGAATAACCCTTGTCTTCTCAGGAGAGTCAAGCCTGCTGATGTGGATGCTAGGTGCTCCGACATAAACTGATGGTCCCTCTTCTGCATTAGTAGAGCGGAGTATATCATCCGGTCTTCTTCGGCGGAGGAATTCTTGAACTTCGAGATGAGTGTTTCGTTGATACCCCTCGATCTGGCTATTCCGAAGAAAGTACGTCTGGTGGTTGTATCCAGCTGCGCTAACTTCTTGTCCTCAATCTTGTAAGTTGGTGATAATCTTGAAGTCATCATAAACCTCTGGAGCCTTCAGGAAGGGTTCCATCCTATGTAGAGGGACTTTCCTGGCGTTGAACTTTGGGATGTGCTGATTCTGCGACTTGGTGGCTTTATCAAAAGCTGCGCTGAGGTTGTCTGGTACTTGAGAGATCGGGTCGATCGGTGGAAAGGTGAGCGTGTCGAAATCATCGTTGGACATCTTGTACTTAAACGCCTCATCTGTGTCCTTAGAAGGTGATGATAAGTCCAAGCCATTGGCGATCCAGGAGTTAACTTCTGTATCAGAGAATATGCCTTCACCTTCTTTCTCTGATTCAGACATCTCTCGCTCTATGGATGCACGACGCCTTGAGTCTCTATAGGATGATCTGTAAGATGAGCTTCGCGCAGGCGATTGATGCCGATGCGATCTTGAATCCTTCCTGGAGTTTTGAGATAATTCTCTAGGCCTTTGCGAAGGTGGGTTCCTGGACGTAGCTTCCCCTCTGTAGGAGTGCCTTCACGCAGGATCTTGATGGGCGTCAGAGTCCGATGGAGATGAAGACTCATATCTGTGATGTCTGCAGGGTTCGGGAGAACGCCTCGATTCCTTCCTGCGTGGAGACTTCTTAGCAGCAATCTCTGCAGCATCTACTTTGGTCCAGACTCCTCACTTCAGATGGGGAAGATCGTCGTGTCCGTCATGTTTCGCACAGGCTTCCCTCTTCATCCGGATGTGGTGGGGAGAGTGTAGAGCCTTCACGCAGGATAGTAGTCGTTGTAGAGGTCTTCACAGCAGCCTTCTCCTGAGCGAAGCAACGTTCCATATCCACATCATCTGGTCTGTAAACTGTTTCATGAACAGTCCCGGGTTGAAGTTCTGCGTTGCCTGAAGAGACTGCTGCAGGGATGATGCATCTGATACTGAAGAGACGTCATTTATGGCTCGCTGCACTTGTGAAGAGTTGACGCTGCTGTTATCTCTGGTACCCGATGTCTGCGTTGATAGAAGGTCTTCTGTCAAAGTCTGCGCTGATAACAATGCCGATGTAGCTGTAGAAGCAGGCTTCATCTTCTTACTGACGATGGTGACTTCAGGTATGAGGATGGGTGGATCATTAAACATCTGCTTAAACAATCTCGGCTGAGAAAGACCTTGTCTTCTGTGTAGAGCTGATCTTAGACTTCGCTGAAGTCTTCATGGTAGTAGCCTTCTAAGTGAAGATGATGATTTAGCCTTCTTCATCTGTGATGGGGTCAGCTCAGTAGACGATGATCTCTTATGGCCTCTGGCGTTCACCACTGGTACATCGACCTGCTCCTGAGAAACGTTCACTGGAATTATGAATATCTGCAGCAGTGGTTAACACATGGTTATCAGCGCAATCACTCGATTTAGACATGACTTGTGAATACCTTCGTACCCAGTCCTTAGCACGTCTATGGATGGAAAAAAGGCAATTATTAAATTCAACCGAAGTTAAATTTACACAAAACTTACAGCGAGAGCTGAAAGAACATGAAACAGTGCAATTAGGACATAATAAATGAGGGTCAGCCGCAGACACTTGGTACCTACAACGAGTATACAAGTTTTCATCAAATGTAAACATGAAGAAAACACATGTCAAACAACGGAAAATTTAGATTAAATTTCAAACCGTAATGTAGAACATAATCCTTAAAAACGTATACAGCAATAATTTGATGTAAGGTCCTAAAATAAAAGGATATGTGCCGTATAGGGACCCAGGTGCTCTCACAACCGTCCCTAAGGGCGAAGAAGGAGAGAGTGACAAATATGGCCGATAATGTGACCATTTGGGCCAAAAGGAGGGAAAGGCACGAGTGATTTTATGTCCGCTTTTTTAGAAAGGAACTTCAAGGGATTTCAAGTGTTCCACTATCATTCGCAAGAGGAAGGAGATAAGCATAATTAGCATGAGTCAGGATAAGGAAAAATTATCACAATATATATTGCAATATCTCTTAAATTATTGCAATATATTGCAATATGAGAATCAGGGCAATATCCAGCCCTAGTTTCAACTAATATCTGGCAGCTGCGTGTCAGAGCAATCAAATTTATGCAGTTACCAATCTACCAAATGAAATCCAAAGGAATGTTCTTTTGAACAGGCACAGAAGTAGTTTTATCCAACACAGAACTGACATTAGTCAAACTAAAAACATAGTTGAATAAGTCTACCATAAGACTCACTCACAGTGTGCAATGAGGTTCAGGTGAACAGGAGATACACATCAATCCACTCAAGACTCACTGCCAGAAGACTGACAGTGTACCAGAAGACTCAGAGTCTGTTTAAAACACTGACTGCATACCAGAAGACCAACAGCGTACCAGAAGATTCAGAGCCTGTGTGAAGACTCACAGTGTACCAGAAGACTCACAGCGTGCCAGAAGACGCACATCAAACCAGAAGACTCAGAGTCTGTTTAAAGACAGAAGACTCCACAGTGTACCAGAAGACTCACAGTGTACCAGAAGACTGACAACATACCAGAAGACTCACAGCATACAAGACGACTCACGGTGTACCAGAAGACTGACAGCATACCAGAAGACAGACAACGTACCAGAAGACTGACAGAATACCAGAAGACTGACAGCGTACTAGAAGACACACAGCATACCAGAAGACTGACAACATACCAGAAGACTCACAGCATACCAGAAGACAGACAACCTACCAGAAGACTGACAGCGTACCAAGACAGACAACGTACCAGAAGACTCACAGCATACCAGAAGACAGACAACGTACCAGAAGACTCACAGCATACCAGAAGACAGACAACGTACCAGAAGACTCACAGCGTCTCGAAGACAGACAGCGTACCTGAAGACTCGCAGCATACCAGAAGACAGACAGCGTACCAGAAGACTCGCAGCATACCAGAAGACAGACAACGTACCAGAAGACTGACAGCATACCAGAAGACAGACAACGTACCAGAAGACTCACAGCATACCAGAAGACAGACAACGTACCAGAAGACTCACAGTGTACCAGAAGACAGACAACGTACCAGAAGACTCAAAGCATACCAGAAGACAGACAACGTACCAGAAGACTGACAGCATACCAGAAGACAGACAACATACCAGAAGACTGACAGCATACCAGAAGACAGACAACATACCAGAAGACTCACAGCATACCAGAAGACAGACAACATACCAGAAGACTCACAGCGTACCAGAAGACTCACAGCATACCGGAAGACTGACAACATACCAGAAGACAGACAACATACCAGAGAATGACAACATACCAGAAGACTGACAGTACACCAGAAGACAGACAACCTACCAGAAGACTGACAGCGTACCAGAAGACTGACAGTGTACCAGAAGACTGACAGCGTACCAGAAGACTGACAGCGTACCAGAAGGCTGACAGCATACCGGAAGACAGACAACATACCAGAAGACAGACAACATACCAGAAGACTCACAGCATACCAGAAGACAGACAACCTACCAGAAGACTGACAGCGTACCAGAAGACTCACAGCATACCAGAAGACTGACAACATACCAGAAGACTCACAGCGTACCAGAAGACTCACAGCGTACCAGAAGACTCACAGCGTACCAGAAGACTGACAGCATACCAGAAGACTGACAACATACCAGAATCCCGACACAAGCCTCACAGCCTGCCAGGCACTTGGTGTAGCCAAGCAGACCCCTACAGGATGGTCAGGGCACTCACCATCTGTGGTCCATGGTGATGTTTTTGCTTTTCTGCTGTCTCCTTCTGGTGATTCACCTTCTTGTTCTTCTGCACCTCTAATGTTGCCTGTAACACCAGTTCATATCAGTGTTAGAAACATCATTTGAATCTGTGTCTTTCATGAACTATTCTTTTCTGATGCTAACTCAATCATTAGTTGATATTAATTAATAGTTGTATCAGAGAAGGACCCTCAGACAACAACCTCTGTCAATTAAACCCATAACAGTCTCCTGAAATCTCACTGTTCAAATGACAGATAACATGTTTAGAAGGTATTTGAGAACTATTAATCAGAGCTCCAGATAAGATTTAGCTCATGTGGGTACTGTACCCATTGTATTATTTTGGAGTGGGTATTATGAATGTTGAGTGGGTATTTAATTTTCGATTAACCACTGCTTTCAAATATGTGGGTATTTCAGGGATTTTACGCACCTAAGCATTGTGTCATTGAGTAAGTTTACTAAGCAGGTATGTTCTGCCTTATGTCATACCTAATCAAAACCAACTTAAATATAATGGAAATGATTTCATAAAAAATCACTCATCCTGTACTGACAGTACAACACTAGTCCTATACTAACAGTACAACTTGATAGCAATCGATGTGATTTTTATAAATATACAGTATATATTCCGTACGCATTTGTTATAAACTTTTTGCGTATGTAACATTTTAAATGTGTAATTGGTACGCAACAATTATTTTTCAATGCGTAATTGGAAATTTTCTATGCGTATTTTACCCAGATATGCAGCTTATCTGGGCCTCTGATTAATGATTGTTAGATCTGTGAAAGTTGATACTGCAGGGACTATTAAGGCCAGACCAATTTTATTTCTTGTTTTACGGATTTTTGTCCTCAGAAAACCTAAAGGCAGGAGGGGAAAAAAATAAAATAAATTCACCAGTCAAAGTAATATTCCTTCTAAATACTCAAAGTTACTTTTGGTAATTTATGAAGTGTATATGGGGCAAAAAACAATCTAAACACAATTGTCTTGTAAGTTTTCATTTTGGGCCCAAAAACATTAGGATTTCATTTTTTGAGCAGGGAAAATTAATTAGTTTTTTTTTTATTCTTGCAAAAATATGACAGGCGAATCTGTAAAACAAGAAATAAAATTGGTCTGGCCTAAGCAGATGAAACAAATATGGCGTTGCTAGGTTACACTTCATGTCACAAGCTACAGGCTATAACAATCTTTCACCTTCCGTTTACGTAGGTTGATCCTGCGTTTCTGTATGTCAGCCCGTTTTGACTTCAGCTGGAGTATAGCAGGATCAATCTTTCCATGGATGTTGTCCTCCATCTCCTCCTCCGGATCGTACAGGGACGGGTCAATGAGGCTGGCTTCTTCCACTGCATCATAGAACACCTGCTCCTGCTCAGCAGCTGGGGGACAGAGACGATCTTATAAGTCAATTGTTCACAGGGTACTCTCAGTCATTGTGCCCTTTGTATATCTGGGGTGGTGGGGTAGCATAGAGGTAAAAGTGTTCGCTCGTCATGTTGAAGGCACGGGTTCGATTCCCCACATGGGTACAATGTGTGAAGCACCTTTCTGGTGTTCCCACCGCGATATTGCTAGAATATTGCTAAAAGTGGCATCAAACCATACTCACTCACTCACTTTGTATATCTTTACAATAAATAGGGCAACAAAGAATATTCCGAACCTTTGCCTGAGCCTGAGAATGTATTGTCTAACCTGTCATCTGAAAGGGCTTGATGGCTTTATTGCTTGCATATCATTTGATGTGGGATGGGCTCACAATAACTCCCAGTCATAATTATTACAAGCCAGTATGATCTTTCCCGAATATTGCTGATTGCAGTGTAAAATGACCGCTAACAAATTTTCTTCAGTGAGCATGTACACTGATCTGAGACTCACCTGCAACTTGACGGGTCCGTGCAGTCATCTGTGTCATGACGAGGGCCTCCTCTTCCTCCAGGACCAGCATTTGGATGTTGAACACCTTCTCCTGCCATTCCATCACCCGCCTCTCCAGACGCTCCACCTGCTGCAGTGCCTGTGGTGACTCCTCTACGCTCGCAATCTGACAATGCAGATTATTTATAAACATTAACACAATGGGCTTTAGAACCTCTCCACACTCACTATCTGACAATCTGCAGCCAATCTGACAAAACAAGCAATAACGACTGAAACAGTGGGCTGTAGAACTATATGGTGTGTGCTTTCTACCATGATTCACATAGCTACTCTTACCATAAATGCTAATTTGATCCATTTTGTGACAACTGAAGTTGCCATGAGTGAATGTTAAGATGACCTAAAATCAGACACAAACTCTGACAGTAACATGCATGTAATCAGTTGGTTCTCAAGACAAGCATGCTACTTGCAGCCTACTCTGCCCTGGCATTTACCAGCAGGAGAGACGATGATGAAACAGCAAGGAGAACCCACCTGTTCCTTCACCTTGTCTCGCTCCTGAACCATCTGCTTCCTCTTGTTGTGCAGCAGCTGCAGTTTCTCCAGCGAGAGATCCTCCTGAACCCTCGTCCAACACAAACTATGCATTAAGCCGCACAGTCTCCAATGTCCATACTACTCACCAGACAACTACTTGATACTTCAAACCTCAACAGAATTTATACAATTTTATGATTATTTGTTAAGAAATTTTACAAGTTCCGTTTTTCTTTTCTTCAAAATCCAAACATAAAACTAAGTTAACACTTTCACATGATTAAGAACTGATTGATTATGCAGATACAAGTCCTCATCCTCTACCTTAGAAGTCTTTCAGCTCCAATCAAATCAAAGGAACTTTTCCCGAACTGCTTCTTATCCCTGTTCATTGATGATACTATGTCTGAAATGAAACAACATGGACAATTTTCAAAACACAATGACTTGAAAGAATTCTAAAGAAAATGAAATCAGATCATATCGTATATCTACAAAAACCCTTTTACTCCATCCTGCCAGTTTTCATTGTCAACTGCTGAAGAATAGTAATGATTTCTTGAAGGAGCTTTTTAGAAACTGCTATGACGAAGATGAATAAGTTCTATGGATAGATTATCTATAATCACAACTATTATCAGCAGTCTAACCACACTGTACACCGGCCTCCTCAACTGTATAAACTCAGTTATCCTTCATGTACATATTGACCGCCTCCGTGGTGTAGTGGTTACAGCATCTGCCCGGAGAGCGGAAGGTGGCGGGTTCGATCCCGACTGCGTCATACCAAAAGACGTTAAAATATGGTACTTGTTGGTCCCTGCCTGGCGCTCGGCATTAATGCGTACAACAAGGACTGGTCGGCTCGGAGTCAGTATAATGTGTCTGAGTAGGGTATTCATGCTTCACTGCGGCATGGTATCTCAGTGGGCTAGCACTATAAAACCAGCTTCAGTCTGGGCTAGTACAAGCGGCCGCACATACACATTCACACGCATGCACGTCGTCATATGAGCGAAATATTCTCCAGAGCGGCGTTAAACCCAATTTCACCTCACCTTCACCTCTTGTACATATTCTCCTTGTGAATAATGTTTTGTATCACTTGCCTGATAATGGTGTCAGCATCTACACCGAAACATCACATCCATTGCAATTAAGAAGTTGTCTATCCATAAAACTTGTTCACCTGATAGTAATGATGATTGATGAACTGTTAACTAAATTGTTTAAATACAAACCTGAATATATGTTGCTTGTTCTCTCATAATATTTAACATAGATTTCCTGAATTGTGCTCAGTGCTTGTTCGTAATGTCCCTGCCATTCACTGAACATTTGAGCGTACTCTTTTTTGACCCGATCACCGATGTTGACATTCTGCAGCTGCATCCGAGCCTCCTTGACCTTGGTTAGTGCAGCTTCCCGGAGATCAAGGAAGGGCTGTAGTTGGTAGTTGTATAGCTCCGCCAGATGGATGTTAAGTTTGAATATGGCCTCATCTTCAAGTTCATAAACCATCTGCATCTCTGTCATTGTCACACAGTGCTGACGTTCAAACTGTAAATTCTTAAGCTCTTCTTCAGCATTTCGCACAACTTCCTCATAACCTTGACGACGGAACTCACTAATGTTCTCAAAATAATCATCAGCATTCTGCTCTTCAAACAATGTTGACATCAAAAGCTTCTCTTTACACGTCTCCAAGGCAACTGCAAGATACTCTTCAAGTTGGACGCAGAGCTTGTCAATGTTTTCAGGTGTTTCCTGATAGTACACATAGGCCCACAACCCTTGAGGAATTTCAGGTAGTTCTGGCAGAAATGAACTTAACGAAGGATGGACTAAACAGAAGAGTTCATGGATTCCTTTCAGTTCCTGGAAAGTAAACAATCCCTGACCGACTCTTACAGTCTTCTGTATCCCTAGCAACACGGCTCCGGAGTCGACATGAAATAGCCACCTTTTTCTCTACATCATTCCATGCCACAAGGAATGTCATACGAGGTGGGAGCAAGTGGTCTGCAAATGGACTCTCCTTAATAGCTACCCACCCCTCCAGCGAGTCCATCTGGTCACATTCCATCCTCCCCTGCTGAGGCTTACACTGTCCCCAGCAGACCCTGCAATCAAAACACGAGTGAGTGAGTGAGTGAGCGAAGGAGGGAGGGAGGGAGAGAGAGAAGGAGTAGCAGTGTCACAGCAGGGACTTAAAATTGGGCATAACATAAGACTACAGTACCCAACTGCCAAGTTAAATATTAGTGAACTACACTGATATGAACTGATTGTTAACCTTTGAAAGAACAGATTTACATGTGTTGGTTTATGTGTCCTTTCTATATTCTAATGTTCATAACTACATTTTACAACAGCAGATCGGTTGTGTTGGAATTAATGATAATCATATCTATGCTATTCACTGACAAGTGCCTCTCATTTACATGTATTTGATGTTTTTCATCAAAGTCCGCAACATCCAAGCTATATCAGGTGGTTTGTTCGCTTCTGAACACAAGAGCGTGGTTAGCTTCACATGTTTATTAATGGCTGCATACCAAGAGCACAAGAGGAGGTAACTCAAGTAGCTTTTTGGTCTGCCCTGGCTAGGGGAAAGTATTGAAGGCAGTACAACAAGCAACAAGGTTGGTTTCTAAACAACCAATCCTTGCCTGGTAAAGTTGTAGTTGATAGCTTGACAAATATCCCATAGTATCCGCGGTAATAATGGGGTTTATTTTTCCATGTTGATTAAGACTCTGGAAAACACTTACACTTACATCCAACAGAAGAAGGTATACACAAGGTTGACACTCAAAACGTAACACAATTAAGTCCTGTGACTTTTCCTGACTGAGAGTGTACAAATATCTATTGTAGTAATTGTACAGCCATACAAATACATACATGGGGAAAACAGTTAAATGTTCAGTGGATTACATCAGCTTGCATAGTAAATAAATACCTGCTGTATAAAGATTGGCAAACTTGTGACATTACATGTATGCAATGTCCTAGGAAGTTAATGTTGCTTGGTGAGTATATACTTTTCAATATTACCCGTTATATACATGTGTGTATACTAAACATCAACATTAACCTAATTACCTGGAAGTTGTTCTTTCCTCCATTATGAATAAACCTATCAGCTGTTCTCACCAGCGAATAACCGTAAACATAATCACTGGACTGTGGGTCTGAACAGTCCACCGTCATGTACATGCAATATATATATCAATATATATCGCGTGTCAGAGGTCGTCTCCTGAACGTGAATATGACTCATGTACAAACTTAAACGATCAGTGACATGGGGGTTTTCCGTTTCTAAACATGAATTTCTTTTTCTGCAAGTTCTTTGAATACGTCATATGTTACGGGACACTGGTAACAGCTGACATCAAATGAACTTATCGCCATATTTCAGTTGCTCAGTCAGACTCACAAGTTTATATATCAATGCCATGCAAATAATAATTGTGACAGTATATTGATAATGAATACATACCTTGAGTGGAAACGAAAACAAAGACAGTGTTGATTTCCTCTACTCAAACTCCTCGCATCGTTTATTTTTTCGCTGAATGCTAAGACCTCGCTGCGCTGCAAGGAGCTGATCTAATATTAGTTATTACGTCTTGTCGAAAATCTAAACAATAATCGCATTTAAAATATGTTTTCTTCGGGAATGTTTTGGGGACACGTGCGTTAAAAGAATCCCTTGAAGGTTATAACTGCTGCGATTCGACCGTTGGGAAATATAAAAATAACGTCAAAACCCACACGACATTGATGTAAACATCACATGACAAATGTATGGGTACCTGCTTTGCTAAAATTAATTAATGTGGGGATCGGCGTTAATCTTCATTATAGTTCATTGTGGCAGCTGAAAATTAAGTATCATGGCTATCTGAAGTTATGCATGAGATTCTTACAGCTCAACAAACGTAAAAATACCCTAATGGTCCTAGGGGATGTAAACTGCAGTACAGCTGTATGTCCACAACTAAATTATCAATTTAATCCTATATACATCAGTTTAAGCCTATATTAATGATGTTACGTCCGGGTCCCTAGTAATTTTCTCGCCCTGGATAGGACATCTCTCTATAGTAAATCAAGCCCCATGTGGATGTATCTGTGCGTACATGACTTTTGTTCAGCAAATACCTGATAAGTCTTTTCAGGTTGAGGTTGTTTTCTGTCTGCATTTTGATGATTAGACATGTATGTGAGGCTAAGACTGATGTGACGAATAATTTGGATCAATTTTGCGACCGCTCAGTAATATTCCGTTTTCCTTACACATTTGATTTATTATACAATAAAATATGGCCGATTTCCTTTCCGCAATACTTAGCACCAACATGTTTCCATAGTTGTCTGCTTACCAAGGGCAGATAACTCTGATGGTGTGATAATGGCTGCTAAAGAAATGGATGATTCCGCAGAGTCAGGTGCTGAGGTCTTCGCTGACGCCTTGGTCGGACAAGTGAGGAGAGACGATGTAGCTTCAATGGTTCAACATCAACGAGAAATGTAATGAAATGTTTCTACTTATGTTTTGCAATGATATCATAACGCTAAGATTGTGTCTCTGCCTTGTAAGGATTATTTATTACCAATGACATTGTCATTTGGTCATTATGCAGAGCAATGTCAGTGGGTGGAAAGGATTGTAAGAACGGATCCTACATAGGCATAGGATGTACATTACCGGGTACATTTTGTTTCTAATGGGTATTGTGCTCTCTTGAAATGTGCATACTTTATGATTAGCTGGGTAAACTATTCACATACACAGGTTAGTTTTTCCTCATGGTGCCAGGCCATGACCTGACTTTGTGTACTAGTAATTTCCGCACACTGATGAAATGGTTGGTTGTTTTGTTTTTGCCAACATGTTGACACTGAATAAGAGGTCGTACCTCAACAAACGTTCCATAAGAGATTATATGTTGTTGGAAATAACATGCAATGCTGCGGGAATCGTTTCTGAATCTGAATGCAGTATTCTAATCACAATGAAATGTCACATCATGCATGAACACCACAAGATACATGTGCAAACAAACATCAACATGTGCATGTATAAGGTAGTTCACAATTACTAATACAACTGAACACGGTCATAAAAATGCCTCTGAGACAGTATTTCAATGAATAGACAAATTTGCAAATTGAGAGTATGATATAGAGGGGGATGTCAATATCCCAAGTTATTTGAATGATCATTGATGATGACAAATCAAAAAGCGATTTTCTTGACCGAGGGACAAGTATCAATGGACTCAAGGGTTGCATTGAGACCTTTGATTTGTAGGCCTAAAAATATCTGACACCAAGACAAGTTTGTCCAATTCCTATAACTGCACTTCGCAACAGATCAAAATCTGCTCTTGTTATCTAAATGAATTCCATATGATAAAAAGAAGGTCGACTGACTATACAGCCTGTCTATGAGCAAAGCTTCCAACGATGGATGTGACAGTGTAACAGATTACCACATTAAAAAATGATTGAGGTAGGCTGGGAAAAAACAAGGAAGGCCTGTTTGCCAATGTTTACAGACAAATCAAGGTTTTGATTCACAGAAAATGTCGGTGACATTGCATCAATCAGTATGAAAAGGTATCAATTCTTGACCATACTTAGTGATTGGTCAGCAATCATGGCAATATGTTAACAAATGTTTTGTGTTCTGTCTTTGCATTTGTTAGAATTCTTGGTTGAAATTTTGAGGTGCAAGTTGACAATGCCAGACCATATCATGCCAAGGTAGTTACTGTTTATCTTTGACAAGAAGGCATTCAGACATTGGACTGACCAAGTAAGTCCCCTGACATGTTTGGTTGATTCTTTGGGTGGTGAGTGTATGCAAAGTGCATGAGACCAACCACCCTCAAACATGAATGAGGGATGGTCTTTGAGGCAGAGTGCAGGCTACACCAAGGGCAAGCAGGTTACTCACAAGTATGCAAGACATCATGCATGTAGCATCCAGCATGGGTGTCTCACCAGGTATTGATCCCAAATTAATCTTACAGACATTACATGTTCACTATCTTCTCATTAGTTAATGTTTAATGTAAGTTAATATAGATAGTTTACTTTTAGCTGAAATTACAAGAGGGAGACAGGAGAGAATTTCCAAGACTCATGATCTGATTTGTGTCCAAGGTTGAAGGGTTACTGGTTCACATATATGATATGATATATTTTTGTTTCAGGTTGTCTAGGTTTGAAAAGACCAATGAGATGCTGATCAACTTTAATATGCTGTCTTCCAGTCGGTTTGAAACAACAAGTCAGGAGTTTAAGAGACACACCATGTTGCTGTATGACATGAAGAAAGACTTGGACGTTGTATTCCGGAGGATAAGGTATATACTTGATAAGGTTAATTATGATTCATGTGATTTTGAAAACATGCTGAGCAAAAAAAATGATGCGTTTAAATAATACACCCCTGAAATTTGAAGGTTCTCCATTTTGATTCAAACAAGTTGGTCTTACACATATAAACACAGGTATAAAAGGAAAGTGGTCATTGGAGATATGTTAGAAATTCAACATATTTTGAGGGGCAAGAATGCTCTCAATTTCTTACACTTGTATAAGTGCTTTGTAAAATCAGATGTATCTCCGTATATGGACTGTTATAATTCCCATGCATCGATGTACTTGTATAAGTGCCTTGTAAAGTTATTGATTTGGTATATCCTCCATGCCCTAAATCTCAGCCTTGCTTTACTGGTATAAGTACTTTATAATTTATCACTGTATACATATGGACCATGTTGTACACAGGGCTGATGGCCCACACCACTGTACCAAATAAAGAATATATATACCTGTCCAGGTCCCTAACCCTGGTAGCTTAGCTCAAAAGGTTAGTGGTGCAACAATGCCTGCCTCCATGGCAATGCTACACACTACAATTTATGATATTTACATGAATGCATTTTGCAGTACATAAAGATACAGGAAATACCCTCAGCCTTCATTCAAATGGATGATTAGAACGTTTGTTTATCACAACAGTCTCACTATAGTAGATAGATGCCATGCAACAGGTCTTGTATTCAACCATTTCCTCAGGCAGGTGGGGAAACCAATATCTACAGCATCACATTTCTTTGCATGTCTTTCTCTTCAATCACACAATGGATGGTTGATCTAACATTTAACACTGTTTAACAATTTAAATGCTGTTTTGAGTATTTCATGCTCACTTAAATATTTTAAACATTAAGTCCTTGTTTGTACACAAATACAGCGATCTGTGAAGGTCCCGGTTAGAATGAATCTTCAGTAACCCTTGCTTGTCGTAAGAGGCGACTAACGGGATCGGGTGGTCAGGTATGCTGGCTTGGTTGACAAATGTCATTGGTTCCCAATTGCACAGATCGATGCTCATGCTGTTGATCACTCGATTGTCTGGTCCAGACTCGATTATTTACAGACCGCCACCACATACCTGGAATATTGCTGAGTGTGGTGTAAAAATAAACTCACTCACTCACTCACAAATACAGTGATAACAATTAACGCTGCTGTTTTGTAGGAAGTTGAAGCAGAGGCTGTCGAAGATGCACCCAGAAGCCTTTTCAGGTTAGTTGTAAGTTACACTTCAGTTGTTCTTACTTTTGTAACATGGGGCCATATAAAGTTCATTGTGAGATTTTCATCCCTGCCACTTCAACTTCTGTAGAGACTTCATTTACGCACATATGATCCTCAAAGTTTACATTTTTCATATGATGCTTTGGCCCTAAATGGCAGTTAGTTTCATCAGATTATATCATGGAGAATGATTTTCACCTTACTTCCATTGTTTTGTGAACTGAAAATTCAAAACTGAACTTATATGGCCTCATATGTAGACTGTGCATGAAAAGCAGATGATGTAGAAAGAGCAATGACAGCTGATCAAGAATAACATTTAGATGTTCAGTCACCAATACGTAAGTGACCTAATCAGTTTATCCTGGCACTCAAATTGAGAGTTTACTCAAATGTACTTGTGGAGTAATTAACAGTGAGTTCTTTCATTGCCACTGATGGGAAATACAGTCAGATGCCACTTTGTCGGAGTTGAAGGGACCTACTTAAATGCCTCCCATTATCTGAGGTTCGACATTACAAAATGATGACTTAATATGGACTATGCAAGGACCAAGTGTGACACATCAAAGTTCGACACATCAAAGTGTGACACAACAAAGTTCGACACATAAAAGTGTGACACAACAAAGTTCGACACATCAAAGTGTGACACATCAAAGTTCGACACATCAAAGTGTGACACAACAAAGTTTGACACAACAAAGTTTGACACCTCAAAGTTTGGCACTAAAAGTGTGACACAACAAAGTTTGACACCTCCCAGTTTAGCACAAAAAGTTTGACACATCAAAGTTTGCCACAACAATGTTTGACACATCAAAGTGTGACACAACAACGTTTGACACATCAAAGTTTGCCACAACAACGTTTGACACATTAAAGTTTGACACATCAAAATTTGACTCTATTCAGCATTAAGAGAGAATGAATGAATGAATGTTTAATTGGATAAACCAGGCTTTTCATAGCCGTTGTTCTTGTAGTCAGAGTTTGGTATTATTGGGCACAACTTAAATATGTAATAATGTTGTTTGTTTGTTATCAGCATGTAGCAATGTGTACAACTTTATAGAGGCAGAAGACGATGATGACGATGATGATGATGAAGATGAGGATTCTGGCACGGTCAAGGTCACACCTACTGTTGATGTGAAGGTCAAAGCTGCCAAACCATGACACTTGTTAATGTTACAGAGATCATGCTGACCTTGGACTTGTTCTTGTTACATATGTAACAAATGTGATTGAATGAAAATGTGCTCCTTGGTGGTGATCTCGAGAGGAGATGACTTAGCTGGAAAAGCTTCTAAAGCACTTATTTCGTTCCCCATCTGTCCAGTAGCCACTGATGTATGTGTTGTCTTTAAATGACAACACACCTCTCAGCGAAGGTCCCTGAGAGGATTATCAACATCCTAACTTTGTCTGTGATAATACCTAGTGGTGTGATAGCCATCAACTGAAAATGTCCACCCTATGTCTCATCTTGTCTGTTAGCATCCAGGGGCGTAGCTACCATTATAAAAAAAGCCCAGGCTTACACATGATTTTGAAAATGAAAGTGGGGCAAGCTCTCAATACTATTTAAATGCATAGCTTTGTAACCTATCAGGCTTACACGAAAATATTGGCTTGCTACGAGCCTGGCATCATCAGGTTGAGATCTGAGCTCAGATCAGGGACCATTTGAATATTCAGCTTTTCATCAAGATTCTGAGGCTACTGCTTCCACATTACCATTATGTATATTTTGGAGAATTATGTATTTAACTTAAAAAATCCCTCCTGTCACGTGACAGCATTTATGTCAGATTAAGGTATCAACAAAACTCTGTACATTACATATCACTTTGATTGAATAAGAATGATTTTGAAATGATTTTCTATAGGTGGACATTCTGTTTAGAAAATAAGCTTCATGTTACCTAAGCAATGATTATACAGTCTATGAAAGGCCCACCACATGTGTTAGGTTACACTTGTTAGTTTATGTCCTGTATATCTTTCATAACAAATTACTATGTTAATCTCAATAATTTATTTTCTATTGGATTATTTATATTTGAATAACAGTGTGTTGATGGTTCTTTTTGCCAGGGAAAATACATGCTAAATTTGTTAAAAATGCAAGATGCTTACTTTGTTTAGAGTAAAAGTATTCACTTTTGTATTGACTTGTAAGTGTTTGCATTGCCAGACTTTTCAGTTCATATGATGGGTTATCATGACTAAACAGTTAAATTGCAGGTGGGCTTTTCCATTTAATCCATACAAAAAATATAATATTTTAGGGGAAAGTTTCTCTGTTAATGGATCTGTAAATTTCATCCAGAAGATATGCCTAGGAACATGAGTAGCCATGGGGGCTTTGTGCAATGAGGACACATTGACTAACAGTTGTCATGGCCAGGCAGTTAATGACTGGTACATCCATACTGGTGCACCACCTGCTTATCAGTGTTAGAAATAGCTCAGCCATGGAAATATTGAGATGGGCCAAAGTGGTCAAAGACTAAATCACTTGATCCTGTCCTCCCAGCGGTCATGCCGTGGTATAATGCAGATACTGTTAGAAACAGTGTTACAGCCCCTTGGCTGCAACCAAGGGACTACTGATCATGGACAGTGGGAGTGTTTGGTTTGGAGAGGTCTAAAATCTCAGTCTCGTTATTATGACTGATTTTGTTCTGTGATGTCAACACTGATGATATATCATCACGGAAGCTATTTCTAACACTGAACACAGAGCTTGAACATGCTGCAACCCTGCTAAAAGCAGGACAAGGCCTTCACTCACTATCTCTCCACAGTTGTAAATAATGCATGCGATCATCCAGAGGAGAATATCATCAAGATCATACTTCATACTTCATTATATTGGTTCATCAGCTGCTTTTCCATGCTATGGAAGCCTGACAAATGAGTTGAATGCTGTTACTGTGGACGATCTAGATTGGCTGGATGTGAGAATAAAGTGTCACTGTATTCACTACTTGTTGATTTTTTTTCTGGCAGGCCAAAACCTTGTCCATCTGTCAGCATCTACATATTTATGATGAGACCACAAGTGAGTGAGTATGTTTTTTGCCACTTTTAACAGTATTTCAGCAATATCCCGGCAAGGGACACCAGAAATGGGCTTCACACATTGTATTTGTACAAATGTGGGGAATCGAACCAGGGCCCTCAAGGTGACAAGCAAACACTTTAACCACACTACCCAACTGCATGCTGAGAACACAAAAGAGGTTAAGGTGTTAAAGGGTCTGACAAAAACAATGTGTGTATACTTTTTCCAGGTGGCATGGTACAAGTGTTGGGCCTTGTCTGTTGTCCATTGCTTAGTGGTGTATCACTGATGACAGCACAGTGACCGTGATGTATAACATGGCTGGTTGACCCCAGCAAGGGTTGATTACAGCAAACTGTGTGAATATAAGAGAGAGGCTGTGCTTTCTGGGTCTAACTATGGTGAATGGATTGCTAATTGTACTTCAACCTAATCCCCTCCAAGGTCCACACACTTATTCAAGCCATGCTGGAGTACCTGGACCCCCCTAGCCTGTGTAAATTCTTCGTTTTTTATAGGGGTTACCCAATACGTTCAAAGCCACCGTCATGCAGTACAGACATGTTGATGACCGATCTGTGCACAGGTGCACTGTCCTCATGAAACAACACGAGTTCTCAGCGACTTTTCTCATTTTGGGGGACTGGTGTGCCTCCAGGGTGTTGTCACGGTAGTACAGACCAGTGACACGTATGTTCCCGAATATAATAGGCGTTCTGCCAGTCACATTGATCCCACCATACACCGAGCCACCTCCAAAACAATGGTTCATTCTCACACTGACGGTATGAGAACGCTCATTGCGCCCACGCCACAGTCGGCTACAATACAGTTGCACCTATCAAGGAAATCCACAGTAAACCTTAATTCATCCTAAGACATAACGTTTGCCCAACGAAGATTTGTCAAGCGCTTCCGCTCTTGCCACCAAAGACATCTTGCAGTGATTCAGGCACGTAGCCAAGAAAATACGTTTTGAAATGAGGGAGAGTATACCTCACCTAAAAGTAAATCTTTCTTCTGAACACGAGATATAGTTAAGACAAACATCAATACCATGGTAAAATATGCTAACATAAAAAATAACTCCAAACAAGCGGATCAACCTCAAGCAAACCTAGACCAAGTAAATATTGTAAACAGTTAAGTACCAAAACAACTTAAAGCTAACTCGGTAAATGAAACACTTCAGCTTTAAAGTATAAGGTGAATCTCATGACGACTGAGATGATTCAACAAAGTGTCGGTGCAGCATTAGGTCATCACAGATGTTAGTCAAAGAGAAGAGCCAGTCTTCTAGTTTGACCTTGTGCGAACATGTCAATGACTTTGTCAATATCTACCACGAATTCACGATGTACGTGAATAAGTGCAAGTGCATACTGACTGAGTATAGTTTTACGCCGCTTTTAGCAATATTCCAGCAACATCACGGCGGGGCAAGTGCAGAGAATCAGCCAGTTCACATGGCTTATCTGAGGTAATTCTAATGCGTCTCATTGCGCTGAAAGAACGCTCAGCTGTTGCAAAGGACACTGGCATTGTAGCCAGGGTGTTCATGGCCACATGGATGTTGGGATGAAGATCCTCCTTGGCAAAGTCGAGATAGTTAGCAGACAAGATGGCCTTTCTTCAATAGCTACATCCTGTCAACGGCATTTCCACCGTCGGACTTCAACCTTTAGCTGCTCAATGTCGCTTTGACGCAGTTCAACAAATTGTTGAACACACCATTAATCTTTTAATATTGTGAGGCCTTGCTCATTAACCGACACATACCCGACACAAAGTGAAATCTGTTCCTTGTTTGAAAAATCAGTGGCCTCATCAGCGATAAGAGAAAAACATTTCTGAGCATTGGATTCATTTGCTATGGGTTTTTTTATTTGTGATGCACATAACTGAAGGAGATCTTTTTGAATCTGTGGTGACAAATATTTATTACTATTGTCCAAATGATTTTTAGGATGTGATCACGCACATAACAAGAGGGGCGGTGGGGTAGCCTAATGGTTAAAGCGTTGGCTCGTCACGCCGAAGACCCGGGTTCGAATCCCCACATGGGTACAATGTGTGAAGCCCATTTCTGTGTCCCCGCCGTGATGTTGCTGGAATATTGCTAAAAGCGGCGTAAAACCAAACTCAGTCAGTCAGTCAGTCTTGCAAGAGAGCAAGGAAGTTACCTTTGTCCTCTGTGTGCCCCTAATTGCAATATTCCGTTTCCCACACAGAAGTGTTTCAATGAGTGTTTTCGGAAGTGAACGGTTTTAAGCAACAGTTGCTTTGTGACGTCTTGACAGTTGCGTACATATATCATCTTGACCGTGAGAAGCAACCTTTCTGTAGTTTCTGCATTTTTCGCAGCAATTTGGGTGAGATTCAAGATTAGTGTGCCACATTATCAATCTACCATGTATCATGATTGTAATCAGCTAATTACTGATTTTGAAACCTCAAGAGATCGTGTCACAACGCTCAGTCCTGTTCCATCTACTTATATGCAACTGCACGTTCCTGACGTCACGGACGCCGCATGTGAAGAACGTTTGAATGAGTTTACAGCCAAGAAGACAACATACCCCTTTAAGCAAATGACACGATTTCTTAATACCAGTGACACTAATCTCTAGCGAAATTAGTTATGTAATATGCTTGCAGGATAAGCACGCTGTATTCTGTTTCAGGGTTTCCGGAGTTTTTTGAAAACCTGGCGGCTCTGATCTGAAAATCATTACAAGTATATCTAGAGTTTGTGAATGTTCGGTTGAATACTTAGAGTTCATGCTACCAGAGTTCAAGTTTGATATCAGAAATGTAACTGAAGGATTTTTAATCTCAAATATCCTGGCATCGCAGACACTAGAATACAAGACATATCCCCAACCAGACTGAAATAAGCTCAGTAAGTAACTATTAACAAGTATGATACAACACCAGAACGGGCAGTAATCCACATAAGGAAGTGGGCTTCTGTATGTTTAATGAAGGAACTTGTTTTAACGGGTGGGTCGAAGGTTGTCTTGTTGTCCATAATTCTCTGTGCCAGTCTAACTAAACTAGTAGGCTCATTATTATTCGTTACACTGCTGTACTGCTATACTGCTATACTGCATAGCAGTGTAACGAATAATACTGAGCCTGGTTTTCACTTAGACTGTTCTCTGTGCAGAGTTACACTCCTTAGGTATAATAATGATTTTAGCGGATTTAAACTTTTAAATTCCTAAAGCTATTCCTCATTATAAGAACAGTTTGAAGTATTGTCACATAGGAATCAAGTACAGATAAATTTCTATCATTTCAAATGTGTTCTTATAGACTAGTGATGTATGCTCTCCCTTTCGATTTTCCACTAGTCTCAGGACGCCGACCTGCGGTTTCCTTTGAAGGTTAGGTTCTGATTAGGCTTAATTAGCGTTGCGGATAATCTACTCTAGATGTTTTGATAAGGTGAACTCGTCGCAAACCTGACGATCAGTCAACTCCATGCAACCCAACTAACGACGCCATTTGCAAAAGAGTGATGAAGACCACTTCGCTGTATTGATCAACAGACGCCGTTTCAACAGAAGATCACCATCCCATTATGACGGTAATGAAGCGGAAAACAAACAACTTCTTACCAGTCAGTTATGCATCAGAAAAGATCTACACAGTGCCCTTGTCACGTGCTCTGAGGTATTATTCATGACACTGGCATGGGAGAGAATTGTTCGGTTGGCTTGTGTGAAAACACTTATATTGAAAACTTTACACTTCCAGTATGGCGATGCTTTGCACCATTATTTTTGACGGGTTATACAAACATTCTCCAGCAATACTCGCCTCGAGACAATGAATATTTAGAGCGGCGATGTTGGATGTTTACCTGCTGATTACAAAGCTATCTGCTGTCTCCCATATTAGACCCGACATTTGCGTTACTGATAATATCTGAGTATGGTATTCAGTCGATATCTACAGTTACAATTACAGACGTAATGTTATGTTATTATATGTACTTGAACAAAATATATGAATATATTGCAAACATATTGTCATATTGTCACTAACTATATTGCCAGTACCACTGACATTCTATGTCATACTGCTATTGTCTGTGTACTGTCATTCTATGTCATACTGCTATTGTCATTGTACCGTCAATCTATGTCATACTGCTATTGTCAGTGTACTGTCATTCTATGTCATACTGCTATTGTCATTGTACCGTCATTCTATGTCATACTGCTATTGTCATTGTACTGTCATTCTATGTCATACTGCTATTGTCATTGTACCGTCATTCTATGTCATACTGCTATTGTCATTTTACTGTCATTCTATGTCATACTGCTATTGTCATTGTACCGTCATTCTATGTCATACTGCTATTGTCATTTTACTGTCATTCTGTGTCATACTGCTATTGTCATTGTACCGTCATTCTATGTCATACTGCTATTGTCATTGTACCATCATTCTATGTCATACTGCTATTGTCATTGTACCGTCATTCTATGTCATACTGCTATTGTCATTGTGTACTGTCATTCTATGTCATACTGCTATTGTCATTGTACCGTCATTCTGTGTCATGCTGCTATTGTCAGTGTACCGTCATTCTATGTCATACTGCTATTGTCATTTTACCGTCATTCTATGTCATACTGCTATTGTCATTGAACCGTCAATCTATGTCGTGCTGCTATTGTCAGTGTACTGTCATGCTATGTCATACTGCTATTGTCTGTGTACTGTCATTCTATGTCATACTGCTATTGTCAGTGTACTGTCATTCTATGTCATACTGCTATTGTCATTGTACCGTCATTCTGTGTCATACTGCTATTGTCATTGTACCGTCATTCTATGTCATACTGCTATTGTCTGTGTACTGTCATTCTGTGTCATGCTGCTTTTGTCATTGTACCGTCATT